TATACACATCACTTTATTAGTGAAATATGCTAACTCTGCTGTGTTTTCAATGGCTGGAAACATGGGTGGTGGGGTAGCCTAGTGGTTAGGGCATTTGTTTGTCACGCCAAAGACCCAGGTTCGATTCCCCACATGAGCACAATGTGTGAAGCCCATTTCTGGTGTCTTCCCGCCACGATATTGCTATAATATTGCTAAAACTTAAAACTGGCGTAATACAAAACTCACTCACTCACTCAATGGCTGGAAACACTGACCCAGATGTGATTATTCATTTGTTGCCTCTATCAACCTGGAGCTTTCCTGACTGCAAAACAACGTTAACTAGTATATGTTCTATCGTCTGCTCTCAAGTACCCAGTTTCCCCAGCCCATTACAATGCTTATCATTGTTATGGTATCAATGGGATTTATTCAGTGATGACCTGACCAGTTTCATTCCTGGAATCCCCAGCAATAGTTATGAATATATATGATACATTAAAAAATTAACAGCATGGAAAAGGTATAATGTTACAAACATGCAGCAGACTAGTTAACAAAACTGTGCAACTAACAATGTGATGTTATTGATCTGGTATTTATCATGGTAATGTTGTTTTGGGTTCTTCATGGACCACATGTCATTTCCATACTGAAAGTTCCTATCATTTGCGTACCACCATGACAACTGTATATTTGTACATTTTGTTGTAAGTAGATATGAAAGTCCCATCACTATACCCTCTTGGAGATATTGTACCAAAAGAATACATAGAAAGTACCTGTGTCATACAATAACTTAGCTTGAAGAGTTGTGTCCCTTGGTCGTGTAAAAATCAGTGATTTGGGGTTTGAATCCTAGATTTTTCACTGATTATGATCCTTGCTTTGTCAGCACATGCTTATGGGTTTAACCTCAGTGTAAATATTTAAGAACTGTAGGACTTCAGGATTTAGTCCCACTGAAGGGGTGATGGGGTAGCCAAGTGGTTAAAGCATTCTCTCGTCATGCGGAAGACCTGGATTCGATTCCCCACGTGGGTACAATGTGTGAAGCCCATTTCTGGTGTCCCCGCCAGTGATATTGCTGGAATATTGCTGAAGTGGTGTAAAGCTAACACTCACTCACTCACTATTACCACTGAATATGATTATGCAATGGTATAAAGCATAAACTGAAATACTGTTCAGAGGAGCAACTACCCACTGTCTCCCTTGTCATGAATCTGGAATCTTTAACATTTGGATCAGGACCAGGGTGCTGCTGTACCTTTACACTAAGACTACATTAAGTCTATGTTAAAGTAATGGAGTTACGGCCACCTTAGCGCTATGATCGCTTTGTACAACAGCTCCAACATCTCTTGGACTTCCCTGCTTAATGTTGAACACTGATACTTGATTAACCAGGTTCATTGAGTGTATATCCTTATTGACCAGTTACGTCACATAGCAGATAATGACTAGCTCCCTATCTGATGTTTGTAATGGTTGTGTGAATGGAGATAAGTCTGCTCACATGTTTTTTATCCCAATTTAACCATGGTTATTTTGTATGGTAATTAACAAAATTGGAATTGATAATTCTGAAGACTAAGAGAGAGTGCTTGATTATAATATATATGTGTGTAAGTTTCTACCTGAAGAAGTGAAATATGATGAACATATTTCCTGATGTTTCAAAATCTTGTTAGCTTGATATTAATCATGCGAAGACAGTGATTTGATATTTGTATTCCATGACAAGCATCTTTGAAGACACTCATGCCATATTTTAAAAAAATCTTGTTTGAAGTATGGGTCGCGGTGGGCGAGCTGGCTAAAGCGCCAAGCTAGTGATGCAGTGAGATTGAGGTGTCGGGATCAAGCCCACCTGTCACCGGGTGTAAAAACCTTGGAGTCCACTTTGTGTGCAGACTCTTTCAGTGTTGTCACAACCCCTAGTGTACAGTACACAACCCTGTGCACTTAAAAGAACCCAGAATCTGTTGGTATATGACCAGATGGTGGCCACATGAATACGTGCAAACACCTAGTTACGGGTACAGCAACATGCAGTAAACTTGGACAAAGTACTGTGACTATATGCGTCCCAGTCCACCCAGCGGTAAATGGGTACCTCAAAAGGATGGGAAAGCCGCAATAACTCGGTGTGCCTTGTGTCTGCAAGAGTTGTATGCTCCCCGGGGAGTTGAGATTGATAATACGATGTGCCATTGAGATTTACATCCAATGATCGAGGGAAGAAATACCAGTGCCTTGAGCATGTACTAGTTGCGTGGATATGTGCACTATATAAATATCCTGTGATAACAAAGTACATTTGTAATTTGAAGGTTCTCCTGCATTTCTTACAGTACTTGTTTCTGAAACGGTGAGCTAACATTTGTTTTATTATGTGTGTCAGCGAGGCAGTAGAGAGAAATCCAGAGAGTAGTTGGATTTGTGATCCAATTAACAAATGGAAGCCGCGCTCACAAAGTCACTTCATGACATGTGGGTACAGTTCTAATCTTGGTAATAGGTGTTCATGGAACGACAAAGATCTGAAGGGCCCTTGTGGCAATAGAGTAGGATCACCACCTAGATAGGCTATCTACTACCATTGTGTATCTGGTAATGTTGTTCAAATTAGTCAAATTTGTTGGTGTTGGATTCTGTTTCCAAGTAATAAAGTATGAGTAACAGCACTTTATGGGGATATATAGGTATAGTTTCCCGAACAAAGGTTGTGACACGAAGCTGGTCCTTCGTGTTCTCCCAGCTACTGTTTTGCTGAAGAATTATTGTCACTAATAGTGTTGGTAATTGGTTATATCTCATAATTGATGATTGGCTCGTTACAACCGATCAATCATCGAAAATAATTGGTTAGCATAATTTATCAAATGTTCCTGGTTATGTTTGTTAATGCACACAAAAATAAAGAAAAAAACAACTAGTTTTTTCCCCGCTTTTTTTGTGTGTGTTGTTTTTGTTTGTTTTTTTGAAATTGCACAAAATGCAGTTGCAAATTTCACTTCTTTCATGGATCTATGTTATGAACATAAATTTCCTGGGGCTTTTAAGATAATATCAATCATGACTTGGAACGAGCTTGTCGTGTGCTTAAATGTAACAGGTAAAACCAACCTTGTGAAAAATATTGTTAATGCAAACAAGTGTTCCAAAATTGTTGGGGCGATGGGGTAGCCTCGTGGTTAAAGCGTTAGCTCGTCACGCCGAAGACCCGGATTCGATTCCCCACATGGGCACAATATGTTAAGCCCATTTCTGGTGTCCCCCGCCGTGATATTGCTGGAATATTGCTAAAAGCGGCGTAAAACTAAACTCAGTCAGTCAGTCAGTCCAAAATTGTTTGTGTTCGATTATGAGAAAACATGATCGATTGCTTGGTCGTTTAGTTACAGGGACCAATCTTCAATTATTTCAATTAATTGGACCACCACTGGTCACTAATCCTCTGTCTTAGGTCTGTTTGAGAAAGCCAGATACTCTAGTTCCACAAAATAGTTATGTGAACAGTTTGCAAACTTTTTGCTTTACGCTCAAACATATGACATATACATCTGTGTACATGTCAAGGTACTTGCAGATTGTATATATGTGTATTGGTTGGAGTACATTGTCAGGATATATTACTACAATGCACATGACCTAAATAAATAAAGCCCAATGAATCAAAGGCTGTAGCATGACCTAAATGAAGAAAGTCCACTGGATCAAAGGCTTTATAATGTACTGCTAGCTGTGCTTTCACCAAGGAAATAATTGTAAGTTTTGGATCAAATAATTTAAGTATTTGTTAATTTTATTTACCTGAAGAAAACTGGAAAAGAATGTTTTAAGCCTGAGATAATTTCATTCTTGTTCTGAATTGATAATAAATTGGGTTTTCAATCCAATGATTAACACCTTTAACAGTTTGAACACAATTATGTGATAGATATGAATCAACTTTATTCCAAGGCTTTAAACGTGAAAAACTAGTAGCCCATCTTCCATAGCTGTCGACTCCTCAAAGTATAATCTATTTACTTACAAATTTTTATTTGGAATGCATTGGTGTTGCATGAAAAATTAGGACCACTTACACCAATGTGTGACAAGAGGCTTTTATTCATTCAGGAAGTGATGTAGCATGTTGGGTTTTGTAACATTTTCATGATTGACATGTATCACTGAAACCCGTTGACCAATGTGTCTCTTTTAAAACTTCACTGTCAGAGGATAAGACGATGGGGCTTAGGATCCCATAGGCAGCAATGCAGAGTTACATCCCCTACCCATACCAGGATCCAGCTGTCAAATTGAATTTCTCCATAACTTTATGTTTCCCCTAATTTGAGATTCTTGATCAGCACTGTACCCTTGATCATGTCTTTTAACGAGACATTAACTTCTATGCAGGGTTTTACGAGATGCGCAAATGTGCGTCCAGTATGCACAAATGTAGAGAATGGATGCAGAAAAAAGATGGATGCACAATATTATTCATTGTACAACACATCTATGACTTTGATGAATGTTTAGTTGTTTCTTTCAGAGCAGTTAGTTGCATCATTTCACCCATCAGTCCACGTGATCAATGATTAATTCCAGGCTTTTTACTTATCAAAACATACAGTTCTCTAAACAGCTACTTCACAGGACACTCGTATTGCCTGCAAGGACCCGTAAAACAAATAATTAGGGGTCGAGGTAAAGTCCTATGATGAGCAAGGTTTAACACTTTCTGAATTTCTTTCTGAAATGGTGGTTCTATTGTAAAACAATAGATAATCCACAACCAGACAAAGTCTTCAGTGACAGTGTTTGTTTAGTTGCACTATATGAAATGTGCCTGTGCACCCATTTCACTCAGCTCTGTATCACTGAAGCTGCTATAGTGCATTATGGTTGCACAATAGCCATGGTCGCAGCAAGCATGTGTAGTGACATTTAAGAAGCCATTATTTGTAGACCACCTACATTAACAAACACTTCAAAGTCTCAGTTGTTCATTTATTTTCTTCCAGAAAGCAAAGTGACTCCACTGGTGGAGTTAGCAGCGCAGGCCGTGGCTTGTCATATACCATTTGAAGTAGTGGAGCACTTCCCTCAGCCCATTCCTGAACAGCTGCAGCTGCGCATCGCGTTCTGGAGCTTCCCGGAAAATGAAGAGGATATTCGGTAATTGTCACAGAAATGGCTTTGTTAGTATGACAGGTTTCATAAATCAAGGAGCGTGTTGAATTTCAGATCAATAAATATTATTTAGAGTCTTTAAGTTAGATATTACCATGGGTTGTATTTGTTAATCATTGTTTATAGTTCCTTTGGGACCATTACATTTTTTAAGGGGTTTTATCAAAGTGTAAGGACTATAAATCTCTCTACCAATGTATCAAATTGAATAAAATGTGCTTCTGATTTATTTCCATAGATCTAAATGCTTCGTTCATTAACTTGTGAATAATGAATTGATTTGATGGGTAATAAATAAGCAGACATAAAGCATGCAAAGTCGGCAGTGTTCATAATACATTATTGTTAACATTGTTAAGGAGAGGCTCCACGAGAAGGAACACTACTGTTACACGTGGAGATGGCTAGTATTGATTGTTACAGCCATGTGACTGTGACTTTCATTGAAAAATTGATACTCTCATCATAACTGCACAGGATAATTGATCTAAACATACTGATTCTTTTCATTCTCATCTCCATGTTTAAAAGCTAGATTGTCAAAGAAGTGTTTTGAAGTAGGTGTGTATTGAGTCACACATGTTCGGTATTAGAACATTGGTTGTTTCTAAATGATTGTGAATCTTTGTTACTGGAGGTTTTTGCTGTTGTTTAAGCTCTTACGTGTTTCTCGGCTATAATTGCATGAAATTGGGAACAATATGAGCGTTATAGTACTTGCAGTGTTCCATATAGAGGCTGAAAGTCATTGGCTTGGGTCTTTGAATAACCTTATGCAAACAGCTAAAAACTTAGGTAGTCCTTAGATTCAACTACAATAGGAGTAACCTTCATTGGCTGAAGGACCTCCCTGAATTTCAAACTTGGGATTTTTTATTTAATGTTAAAAATTTTTAATGTTGATACATGTTATCATATATAAATATTGAAAAGAACATGGCTTGTATCAGTGTGCCTCTGTCACCATGTGATATATCATATATCTCCCAATATTACTTATACATAGAATTGTCTGATTTTTTGTCTCCCTGGCAGAAAATGCCTGTTAGAAGCTTCAGTTGTTTGACATAAGTTTTCCTCAAACAAGTCATCATCCGACAGGTTTGTTTTCTGTATGCAAGATGTTACCTGAGGAGTGTGTGAAAACGTGTGATATGTAATTGATTTGCTGTAAGGAGTTTGTGTTTCCACACAGACTGTACTCCTGCTTGGCTAATGGCAGTGCGGATGAGTTCACCAAGGGAGAGCATCTGTACAAGAGCAAGGCAGTCAGGGACGCTCTACAGATAGGTTTGTAGAGTGGAGAAAACATACTCAGCTTTGTCCTCAGTCATGGTTGTAGATGTAATTTAGAAATTGCTTTAGAGTAGTTTTATGTCAAAAAATAACCCCAATTCCTTTAGGAAGGAATGCTGAAATACATAATTTATACAGCCAATCATTCGGGCATGAATGTACAGGAAAGTTGAGGAGATATTGTAAATAATGTTAATATGCCCCGAGGACTGTTTTTGTGAGAAGGTCAGCGAACAAAATGTACAGTGGTGATGCAGTTCTGTGAATTGGTGAAAGTTTCAGAAATACAAAGGCAAAGAATGAGAAAATGTTTTATTACATCCTTTTCTGCAGCCACTTTTCTTTCTTTTTCTGTCCTTGATTGTAATTTATATAAGTATAAGTATAAAGTGTTTATTATATACTAAAGGCTGTTATGTTGCATTGCTATTATAAGCCAACCCATGTAGATTCCAAATTAGAACAGGTCCTACCTTTACTACCCATAAGAGGCAACTAACTTGATCAGGTGGTCAGGTTCAGTGACCTTTTGATTGCTTGTCATTATACCCAAATGCACAGATGTGTGCTCACAATATTAATCACTAGATTCTCTGATCCAGACATTTTTATTTTCAGGCTGCCATATGCATATTTTCAATTAACAATTATACTCTTGTACGAACACTCCATAGCACAGTAAACATATACGGATTGGCCACTAAAGTTTTGATACAACAGTAGTTATTGCCTATTTGTTTGATTAGGATTAAATTGGTTGAGTTAATGGGTATATACCCGGTAACCTACTGCTGAATTATTGTGTCAGGAGTAGCAGGTTTTGGACATGATAAATATACTCAGTCACATTGTTATGGTAGACTGAAGATAAGTTTCACTTGTTATCACTGTCATACTTTGAAATCTCTTCATTTTTAATGGGGGTGGTGGGGTCATCTAGTGGTTAAAGCGTTAGCTTGTCACGCCGAAGACCCAGGTTCAATTCCCCACATGGGTACAATGTGTGAAACCCATTTCTGGTCACCCCCGCCATGATGTTGCTGGAATATTGCTAAAAACGGCATAAAACCATACTCACTCACTCACTCATTCTTAATGACTTTCAAAATTCATACACAGGCCTTTGTCCCACATTTTGATCTTTTGTTGATAATGTTTCTGATTGTTCTGATCAGTAATTTACTGATGCTACTCTGTGGGACATTCTTTCATTTATGAGGAACAGCTAAACCCTATAATGACTGGGGTTTTTCATCACTCCTGTGAGGGTACAGTCGACTGAGGCTCGATATGGTGCTCTACAGCATTATGTGTCTGTGATTGCTGGTTCAAGACCCAGATTGCCATGATAATGTTTCTAAGTTTGCAGTCACCTACCCATGCTCTCATAAACACCTGGATGGTGGGTTAGCCTAGTGGTTAAAGTGTTCACTCGTCACGCTGAAGACCCAGTTTCGAATCCTCACATGGGTACAATGCGTGAAGCCCATTTCTGGTGTCCCCTGCCGTGTTATTGCTCACACAAAACATCTAAGACCTGCAACTTGTGTGTCTTTCTTGCTTAATCAGATTTACAAACTGTAATATATATGGTGTTAAACCCAGCTCACTCACTCAGTGAATTACACTTGTCGAAGCAGTGACAACACCAAAGGTTTCTACCTGTAATATGAACACCTTGACTCTGATTACCAGTCTATGATCATCCAAAGGGAGTATGTTGATCATGGTAATATTTCCTGTTGCAGGCTTCCATCTGAGTGCAACTGTCATCCATCTGAACCTGACGCAGACCCAGGGTAAAGGAAGCTACAATGTTGCCGTGGTCTTTGACCGGCGGCGCATCTCCTCATGCACATGCACTTGCAACAGCAGTCCCTCTTGGTGTTCGCATATTGTTGCATTATGTCTATATCGTATACATCAGGTGAGACTTTACAGGTGTATCATGCTGAACTGTCTTTGTGTAGGTTCATGCAGTCAGTCATGGAATTGGACTTTATTACTGATAACCATGGTTAAGTCTTGTTGCTGTTAGAACTTTAAAATGTTTCAGTTATGTATGACTTTAGCCATTTGTAGTAGCTTTTATCTGAATATATTCTCTTTATTTTCATTACATCCATGTCATTATATATGGTAAAGTAAGCAAAATAATGTTTTCTCCATAGCAGATTTTAATGTTATCTTTTGGGAAAAAAAAAAACAGAATTTGTAATGTGTTGATTATTGTATGTGCTGAACCCCTATGATAAACCCCATCTTTGTTTTAAATTTTTAGGCTACGTCAGTATGTTTGCGAGCACCAGTGTCCGAGTCACTTTCACGTCTTCATAGAGATCAACTACAGAAATTTGCTCAGTATCTTATTACTGAACTGCCACAACAAGTAAGTCAGTAATTATCTCCCTTAGACTGCTATCAGCAAACAAGTATCACATTTCACCACTGTCCCAGATACTTGTGATTTGGTAGAGTTTTGTCATACCTCATCTATTTCATGTGCATGGATTTCTTTGTTTTGAAATATTTTTATGAACATAGTTTATTTCCTATTGATAGTATCGGATCAATTTTCCATACACCATTACAGAGTTTTAATAGCTGTGGTATTATGTATACCTGTACTGCTACCTATAAACATTAGATACTTGTCACTACACAGAGTTAAGCATTGTTCCATAGTGTTTTCCTAACACAAACAACCCTATCATAATGTATTTTAATTGATTTCTTATGAGACCTAATTTGCTTCCTAAACCACTAGCCTTCAAATATGTGTACTCATATTTTCAGTCAAGCAACTTTTTATGTACTTTTCGCATGGAATCATGCAAAAAACAATATGTGTTTTGGTCACAATCTTTACAGCTCCAGTTCCCAACTAGATAAGTAAATATATTGTTGCTTAAAAAGATACATCAATATTTTATAGAGACTAATCAAAACTTTTGTGAAATAGCTGTGATATTGTTGAAATATTGCTAAAAGTAGCATAAACCTCAACTCACCCACTCACTCACTCACCGACAGTTATGGTCTGTGCTTAAAATTAGGGTCACTATTCTCTTAGTTTTGCCATCTCCAGATACCCTAGGATGATACAGTCCAGGAATATTATCATTTAGCAGATATTTATAAATACTACCTTTAGAATAGAGTACTGAAATGTATGTCAACGGGGTAAAACTTCATGACTTTGTTTCAGATTTTACCAACAGCTCAACGGCTTCTAGATGAACTGTTATCTTCTCAGGAAACAGCTATAAATACAGTGTATGGGGCACCAGGTCAGTGCTTTAGTCCATACAGTGGTGTGGTTAAGGTTCGTGTTTCTGATTTGAGCAATAGTATGATTGGCTTGTACTACATGGAACAATACACTTTTCCATTTGACCAGCAGTATGCTTGGCTTGTGCCATGTGGAACAGACCCATGAAGATCCAGGTTAGAATTGGTCTTCAGTAACCTGTGCTTGTCTCAGTGGCAACTAACAGGATGGGATGGTCAGGCTCACTGACTTGGTTGACACGTCATCGTATCCCAGTTGCATAGATTGAGTATCCCAGTTGCTCATGCTGTTGATCACTGGATTGTCTGGTCCACACTTGATTATTTACAGACTGCCACCATATAGCTGGAATATTGCTGAGTGTGGCGATAAACAAGAAACCAACCAACTTGATGGGTATAAATGGTATAAATCCAATTCTCACCAAAGATTTTGATCAATTGTGGACATGGTGACAAGTGAATTCAAAACATTTTATTCACTGTAGAATCGAATCTTCCAGCTGCTTCTGTAGCCAGCTAACTCTTCTTTGCTGTAATTTTGGCCATTTTTATGTAAAGAGAAATCCCTGGGATAAGTGTTGCACGAGAACACAGGTTATTTTCTATTGATTGCTGTATTTCCAGATCCTACTGCTGGGCCTCCTGCAAGTGAGCAGACCTCATGGTGTTTAGATGAAACAACGCTTCATGAAAATGTGAAGAAAACTCTAGTCAAGTTCTGTGTCCCATCTCCAATAGTATTTAGGTGAGTCACTGGGAAGTGATCAGGTAAAGGTTCATGATCTCTAAGGAGTGATCATTTGATATTATATGTCACTATAACTTTGAATATTTAATTCTAAATATGTCATGATATGGCTATCTCCCAATTGGATACATATCACAATGCTTTGTTCATATGTGGATTCATTTAATGTAGCATGATGATTTTGAATATTAAATACTAGCTATGGCATGGTACAACAATCTCCTTATGGGATGAATTTCACAATACTTTGTTCACAATCCAATGCATATTGTGATTGCGTATAAACATTTAATCATATATGATTTTGAATATTGAATATTAGCTATGGCATGGTACAACAATCTCCTTATGGGATAAATTTCACAATACTTTGTTCACAATCCAGTGCATGTTGTGATTCTTAATTCACAACACATTTGGATGAATCTGTCATATTTTTTAAGCCATAATGACTATAAGAAGGATTGAGAATTCACATTTCCTTCCATGATTGATATATACAACTGCACTGTCAACACCTTTTAGAAATAATGTTGAACAGAATTCTAGTTTTAATACTATGCACATTGTTCAGTGTAGATGTAGGGTTAATTAGTAACAACCAGAATTGTGTAGAACACTTATAATACCCATTTTGCCAAGTGAGTCTTCTGTGAAACAATAAAGGATTAAAATATGTGGGACAAGATTAAAATAGGTTGTCAATGAGACATTGTTTAAAAAAACGCAGCTGTTGGTGGCGGTGGGGTTGGGGTGGTTGTAAAATCCTAAATATATCCGAGAATAAAATACAATAAAATAATGGCTACAGAAGTGTTGTAAAGAATGCATGGCAGGGAAATACGGTATTAAATAATATTTCAAGAGAGTAGTTATTAAATGCACGATTCACAGTATATTAATTATTTAACCCTATTGGCGTTGATAAATATCTTTAATGCCTCATCATGTGTATATCCCTATTTGATGACTACTTGTATATATTTAAATTGCATAATCAAATTTAGATTTATGGATGAGAAAGAAACTTGATTTTGCACGTTAACTTGTATCTACTTGTAGATTACTTTAATGATAAAGTAAGACAAAATCACTCCATGACCTAAAAGAGATATCAGTATGTTGAGCTCTGCAATGGGCATGACAGACTGTAACGGCAACGGCATATGCCAAGGGAAACCACTCCCATCTTTAGCATGATAAAGTAAAATTATCTGCTCTTGAGTTAATGAAAAGGTCAATGCCATTGTTAATCGTGATCGCGGACACCATTCACTATTATCCTTTCCTGGATTATCAAGAAGGTATGTTGTTTCACACTTATTCCAACATTGAATCGGTGGGAATAGTACTTTGTGATATCGACTGATAGTTATGTGTTTCACTACAGTAAATAACAATGCATCCGGGACGTTAAATCAGTTGTGCATTCTCCGTGTTGCTGAAGTGTTCGAGGCTTAACCACACAGTTTTATGCAATATAAATGCAATCTCCAAACGTGAAAGCTGATTATTTGCGTGAAACAGACACTAATTTGAATGCCATTTCTAAGATGACTAAAATGATCTTAGCTCCTTACAATTGGTCTGGACCAATTGTAAGTTTCGATTGTAACTTACAATGATCTTAGCCCTTACAATTGCTTTGTGCAAGTAGATGGCGATTGTAACCCGAAGCCTAAGATCGCGATCTTAAGGAATTACAATAATTGTAGCGCTAAGATCGTTCTGTGCAAGTGGGCCCAGGTCCCTTCATCAGGTGAACTGGCAGTTAGGACTATGACGTCGTCACTATGACGTCATAACTGAGTTATGACGTCACAATGCAAGTGACATCATAGTACACTAGGGAGAGTACTGTATAAGTGAGTTTGAAGAGTTAATTACATAATGATGAAATTCATGCTAATACACAACAACTGCTATTAACACATTTGCCCGGAGGAGTGTCTTAATTCTCTAGCGGTACAGCAATTAAGACACTCCTCCGGGCAAATGGAAGAGGATCTAGTAATGGAAGCCCCAACCCTAGAGGATGTGTATACCAAATACCATGCAGCTGTGGTGATCAATATATTGGCGAGACTCTCAGGCCCATTAACACCCGGGTTGCTGAACACAAGTCATCAGTATGCAAACAAAATGATAAGTCAGCTATATCGGAGCACAAGGCAAATAACCCAAGTCATGTAATCATGTGGAACGATATTAGGTGATTTCGAAATAACAATGACTGGCGTCGGAGAAAACTACAGGAAGCTGTCGAGATAAGGAGACATAAACCAGCAATTAATCGTGATCAAGGTGTATACCTGCCAAGTGCATGGGACCTCTTGATTAACTTTTGATGAACTTTAGATACAAGAAAAAACGAGTCTACTATTCTTTTTGGAAAGCCTGCTATCAAGGAACCTTTGTGTTATTAGCAGTTGTTGTGTATTAGCATGAATTTCATCATTATGTAATTAACGGAGCACCTTTAGAATACAGCACCACAACTTCTCGTGAGGACGATCTCTGCCGTAGGTCACGTGTCATTAAGACAAGCAACCAGTTTGTGAGAACCCGTCGGACGCGAACCCGCGACCTTCGGATTGTTAGCTCGACAGCTAACCGACTGAGCTACGTCCACACTGTTGCACTTTGTGCAAATTTATCGAGTCATTCCTGTGACGTCACGGAAATGAACGGAAAGAGTCGAATAGGTCACGGACAATTACGAATGCTACGGTAGACTTGGTGTCATCGCGATTTTATTCTACGGACAGTTGCCGAATGGATCCGATGCCATTTGGCACACTCGTCCCATTCCGTAATCTACAAATTAACGTAAAGCGTGGAATGAGCCCGATATGTCTCAAACGGAAAAGGGTTGTTGGCGTCAGGCGTCAGGAGCGTAGATTTCACGGTGTATGCATGAATGGCGCTTTTATATAAATCTGTGATTTTGTGACAGAAAAGTGATGTAGGGAACACTGTAAAGATAATGTGGATCGCAATAAGGAGCGAGGGAGACATGAGCATGTGTAGTGACGGCCGCGAAGGTGAGTTAGCCTCCTCGAATCATTACTTTACAAAATTTATGTTGCTTAGCGTGTGAAAGAGGCTTCAGTGCAAATTCAGGCCAATTTCCATTAGCCCAAAATTTCTACATTAACCCATTTCATAATGTACTTTCGGCGCTTTTGGTTTCCCGTTTTTTGTGTGAAAAAAAAGTATTAAAATGAAAAAAGAAAAACAACAAATGGTACTCACGTATTACACCGGACATGTACCTACTATATTGGATTAGGTCCCTAACCCTAACCCTAACCCTAAACCCTAAACCCTCAGCCCTAACCCTAACCCTAACCCCTTGAAATAATCCTAATAAATAGAATGCATTGACCGAACCACCGGACATGTACCTACTATATTGCATTAGGTCCCCAACCCCAACCCCAACCCTAAACCCTAAACCCTAAACCCTAATCCTAGCCCTAACCCTAATCCCTTGAATTAATCCTAATAAATAGAATGCATTGACAGAACCGGCACAAACACGACTGGCGTGTCTAGTGTAATGCATTATTAACGCTTCGAAATAAAAAATACTAATAAAACACTTTTCTGTGTAATGGTGCAACTTACTGAATGACAAAAATATATATGTAAATTTAAAAAATTACAAATTACAAAATACACAACACTTAACACCCCAGCAGCCCGTAATACAAATAAATATGAGCGGATTAGTGAAAAAAGAAAAATATTTCAAACTGGTGCTTGCAAAATATTGCGCATCCGCCGGTATACAACTACTGGAAACTCTCAACATCGTTGGCCTTATGCAATGACATAGCTCGTAGAGATGAAACGACAGTGAGCAGAGCTTATACGCGCTCGCTGAGCCAGACAACCGTGTTGCCATGCAGGCGTCATAGGGCATTGTTTCGAAATCGTTCTTTCGAACACAATCACATTACATTACGTAAAAGGGTATTATGACGTATTTTTAAAGTTTGTGGTGCTGTATTCTAAAGGTAGGCCTAATTAACTCTTCAAACTCACTTATACAGTACTCTCCCTAGTGTACTGTGATGTCACTTGCATTGTGACGTCATAACTCAGTTATGACGTCATAGTGACGACGTCATAGTCCTAAGTGCCAGTTCACCTGATGAAGGGACCTGGAATGGTCTCGAAACGTTGTGAGAGAAATTAAAAAAGAAGTTTAATCCATAAAAGAATCTTGGACAAGATTAAAATACTAATCAAAGAAAGTCTGTATCATATTTTGTATCATCTAATAATATTTTCAATGTATTGATGAGTTGTGACATCCCCAGTAAATACTTTCTATAGTAGTTTGACATACCTTGAACCCTAGTAGATCATATACTGTAAACGTATTATATTTCGCGCAGGTTTTATTTTTGCGCTTTTTGCGCAAAACATTTTAGCTCGAAAATTTATACACCGCGAATAAACCTGTCATTCATTCAGTCTATCCACGCCAGCTTCCTGAGTTGTTACCATAACACATCACGCTTGAAGACAGAAATCAACGGGAATCTTAAAATGACGACTGATCATACTTAACTGTCGCTGTAATGGATTTCCCAAAACATAATTAAATAATGAGCCAAATCCCATTGCCTTAATTAGCTTAAAACAGCAATGTGTTTGTGGCGCCATGGAAATTGGTCACATGACATGGTTTGATACAAAACAGATTACCTATGCTTAACAACCTGCCCCCCCTCTTTCAACAGTGATGTGAACTACCTATCAGCCAGTGCACCTCCTGCAGCTGCAGAATGGCAGAGTCTACTACGGCCACTGAGGGGGAGAGAGCCTGAGGGCATGTGGAACTTGTTGTCCATTGTGAGGGAGATGTTCAAGCGACATGACAGCAATTCTGTACCCCTGTTGGAGATTCTCACAGATGAGGTTCTACAGTGTGAACAGGTACACTAAAGGAGCAAGACACCTTTCTTATAGGGATTGGTCCCAACCCCAGGCTTTGGAGAGGATAATGGTTTTACTTTATCAATACACAATGCCTTTTGGAAAGTGGCCACTTCAATCGCTCATTTTAAAATGTCACGGTGGCTTTTTTTTGTATGTATCTTTCTTACTTAAGTACAAATTTTAGTACTTTTGTTTTCTGACATGGTGAGGCACCAAATTGCCAGTGCACCAATTCATCAGTCTAACTCAGACAGACTAAGAAAGGTTATTATCAAATGTAACGTTTGTTACAGTGTTAAATTGGTTACACCCTCTGACCTTGATGACTGTGTATTGTCGTACTATCAAATGGTAGCAGTCAGTTGCTGTCAATCACTGTTTTTCAAATCCCAGGCTCGATTATTTACAAGTAGTCAGGATATCATGATGCCGCCGACTGATTACACCAAACTCATCAAGCGTATCATGAAATTCCGTAGCAATGATTAATGTTGTGTAAACATCATCATATTATTTTCAACAAGTACTCCTGGATTATCACACATATTCTCACCACTCTAATGCTTTACCAGTAACAGGTAGCATACTGCTGTCACTAAATTGATTGGATTCATGTCTAAGAGGGGTGGCGGGGTAGCCTAGTGGTTAAAGCATTGGCTCGTCACGCCGAAGACCCAGTTTTGATTCCCCACAAGAGTGCAATATGTGAAGCCCATTTCTGGTGTCGCCTGCTGTGATATTGCTGGAATATTGCTAAATGCGGCGTAAAACCAAACTCTCACCCACTCTCTTATTTCTAAGATTATGTACACATGAAATGTGATCTTGCAATTAGTAAATGAAAATGTAATAAGTTTTTCTTCCTTACCAGATACTGATTTGGTGGTTTGCCACAAAGGCCTCAGCTTCTAATAACAGTAATGCTGTACACTGTAGCCGAAGTGGAAACAGCTCTGCAAATGCCACCCAGCACGCTGCTGCGAGTCTGTGTGAAGAAATAGTAACTCTGTGGCGACTAGCTGCTCTCAATCCTAAGCTCTCACCGATTCAAGCTGATGATCTATGCACCAAGTTCAAGGAGTGGCACATCCAGACAATAGAGAAAGTCAGGAAAGCTCGCGGATCTAATTCCAGCAGTTCAGGAGGAAACATTAAGAAGAGTGACATCGAAAACTTTCCTGGGTTCAAACCCTCTATTGAGGCTTGTCAGATGACATGGGAAGACTACCCTATTCCTGGGGTAACCTACTCAGACAAAGATGGATCTCGGTATGTGTATCACTTCAGCTCTAAGGGCTCTGATGGGGAGGGAAAGAAACCATCCAGGGTGCAACCAGTCACTATATGCTCAGAAGACATTATTAGCACTGATAATTCTCGAACTCTTGCTCATTCCCAAAGATCTCAGGATGCACGGGCACGTGCCCGCCATGAAGGACGACCGATGAATATGCGGAGAGACTCTGCCATCAATGATGGAGCAGCAAGCTCAGGTTCAGAAGGGTTTTGTGAGCCCGAACGTGGATTTCGGGACTCTGATTCTAGTTACGATAACAAAGGATTTCACTCTAGGAGTAACTCCTTGGATGAGCCAGATCCTGGCCATGTATACCCAGGCCAGGTCTCACACAGGGAGAATGTACGTGTCATGGTGCATCAAGACAGTGATGTGTTCGATGATGGGGTAGTAGACGACCGGCCAGACCCTGTTGGTCAGGATCTGGCCAACCCAAGCCCCCAGGAAGAAGGGGCCATGCTGTGCCCTGGAGCTTCAGCGCAATCTAGTCAAAGTCTTGAAGCTGGTGCCCCTGCTGTTCGGCCTGTTGAACAATCTACCTCAGAATCCCAGCAGTCTAGTGATGAGTATCAGATGTATTTCTATGACCCCAAATCAAAGCTGACTGATGCAGACAAGAAGAAAAAGGACAAGAATGAGGAGCCTAACTATTTTGCTGGCCTGAAGAACCCACAGGAGGTCGGCAAAATCCCGGAGAAGAACCCTTCATCTCAGGATGTAAGTTACATATACCATTAAAAAAAGTAGGGGATATTCCATTTTGCGAGCATACCACTAGCCAATGCCAATGCAAATGAGAAAAAGTAATATATATCCATACAGATGAAACATTTCCAAAGGAATGAAATAAATTGTCACATTTTCCCTTAATTTCTCTTCATCATCTTTTTCCTCCTTGGCTTCATCATTTGCATTTTATCAATCTTGTAAATCAAATATGCCTTACTTTTTTGAATGGTATATATCTCAGATTGTTTTCCCTCAATAACTATCATTTAACACTGTCTTTGTAGAATCAAAATTCCAATTAATCAAATCAATATCTGAAAATATGTCTACATGTCTGAAGGTCAGTGATGATTTCTTCAGTTACTAGTTATGGTTTTATTAGGCTTCCTAGCTGGTTCAAAAATTTGTAATCCAGTTTCTGTGATTCTAGTTTAATATCATAAATAATCAGTTGTATTTTTGTTAATGAAACTATTATTAATAACAGGTTCGAATTGTTAAACATTACATTAAGTTCACAAGATTATATAATGGATTATTGACAGGAATTATTGTGGAGAGAATTCTTCTGTTTGGATACTTAAACTGTAGCTATTTCCACTGTTTTTATGTCATGAAAGCAGTGTTTCTGATACAAACAGTGTTAGGCAAATTATTTCAATTCTTCACATATCTATATGGTTGCGATACATGACTTCCAAATCACATGATTCACATATAGAAACAAGATCATTAACTTTTATTGTAGTAGGCATTTTCTTCAACTGTTTCAAAGAAACCTGTGTATAACTGAGAGGAAAATTACTTCATGCATGACATTCTAATTGTAATCAAGATGACAAAAGTGGCATTAATCTCTCTTCTCCACCAACAGAACTTCCAAACCTCTGCTCCTCTGTCGCATATACTGTTTGCTCGGGCAGAGGCCCTCCATGCACATGGCCACACGAAAGAGGCCTGTGAGTTGGCCAAGCAGTTAGCCGAGGACTTGCTGACCAACCCACCAGACCTAATAGCTGAGTCGGCCAATGTGCCAACACCGAAGTGTGAGTAGCCTTTTTGTCCCCCGCCGCAACCTGGAACGTGGGAATGTATTCAGCGGTGTCCGTACATACGTACGTCCCGATTCTTATTAGTGCGATATCTCATGAACTGTTGTACCCAATGTATTCAAATTTGTTGACAGCCTACATTGGGGGATTACACAGACACCAGTCGATTTGGGTGACCTTCACCTTATTTTCAAGGTCACCACGACACTTTGAGCACTTTTCAAACTCTTGTTATGGATATCTCATGAACTGTTGTACCCAGTGTCTTCAAATTTGGTGACAGCCTACATTGGGGGATTACCCAGACATCAGTTGATGTGGGTGACCTTGACCTTATATTCAAGGTCACCACGACACTGAGCACTTTTCAAACTGTTGTTAACGTGATATCTCATGCACTGTTGTAACCAATGTCTTCAAATTTGGTGATAGCCTACATTTGGGGATTACGCAGACAGCAGTTTATTTGGGTGACCTTGACCTTATCTTCAAGGTCACGACGACACTTTGACCACTTTTCAAACTGATTTAAACGCAATATCTCATACAACATTGCACCCAATGTTTTCAGTTATGTTGACAGCCTACATAGGGTGATTATGCAGACACCAGTTATTATCAGGCATCTTGTATGTGACCAAAAAATAAAAAGTAGTAAATATAGATATTCCATTCTTTAGCGCCGGGAGACAATGCCATATCAGTGGCAAGCACTTGTCTTTCTTCATTCAGAGTTGTTTTCATAATATATGTAATGTCATTTAATTGTACAGTTATTATAATATACTTGAGAAATACTTGAATTACTGAGGGTGAACTGTGGGCAATGTAATGGACATACATGTACATTGTAATAGAATGAAATTATCATGAATATGAACAAATCTTTCATCGAATAAAACATGAGAGTATATTGAAATACTTTACATTCCCAATGTTGGCTTCCGGGTTAGAATTGATCTTCAACTACCTGTGCGTGTCATAGGCGACCAATAGTAGCTGGTCAGGCTCGCTGACTTGATGGACAAATGCCACCATATCCTAATTGTGTAGATTGATGCTCATGAGGTCAATCACTGGATTGTCCACTGCTGTCATAACCTGGGATATTGCTGAGTGAGCTGTTAAACAATAAGCAAAGAAATCCTTGATATATAATAGTTTATTTCATAGTTGTTACAGTTCATGTGCAGGTACGCGTGTATGCCCCACCATTTTCACTTTTGTTTTAACAAAGAGTTTTTTTTACAAGAACGTGTACACTTTCATGCGTAATTTCAAACAGAACTGTAGATTCACAACAGTCTTCACAGTCAGTTTACTGCTCTTCTCAGTAGTGTTGGGAATTGGTTAAAATCTCATAATTGATGATTGGTTCATTACTACCGATCAATCATCAAAAATAATTGGTTAGCATCATTTATGAAATTTGTTAATGCACATTAAAATAAGGGAAAAAACCATGTAGTTCTTTTGGGGTTTTTTGGCAAAATTTCATATCTTTAAAGGATGACTAGTATGTTAGGAACATAAATTTCCTGGAATCTTTAAGATAAATTCAATCATGACTTGAAACGAGCTTGTAGTGCTTACGAATATAACAGACAAAACCAACCATGTGAAAAATATTGTTAATGAAAACAAGTGTTCCAGAATTGTTTGTGTTAGATTATGAGAAATTATGATCGATTGCTTGGTGGTTTAGTCACTACGACCAATCTTCGATTATTTCAATTAATCGGAACCACTACTTCTCAGTTCCGTACAATGTCCTGCAACATGTCTTCCAGCCAAGAAGAAGAAGGCCCTGAACAACATCAGCCTGTTAGCCAGTGCCACACTGTCCAAGGCTTCCTTCCTGGTCAGCGTTCTTTGTGAAGGGCTCGACTGCCACCATCTGGCCTTCCAAGTTGGGATGTTTGGACTGGAGCTTGCAAGACCACCTGCATCCAGCAAGGCACTTGAGGTAATACATCAACCAGAATGCTAGTACCTTCACAGGCAGACTGGTCAGTGGGTTAGCCCAGTAGTTAAAGCATTGTCATGTCACTGATTCCATTCCCGTTTGGTTCATTGTGTGAAGCCCATTATCAGTATCCCCTTCCATGATATTTCCTGTATATATGTAAGAAGAATAATCACTCTCTCATCCTTTCCCACAGAACAAAGAACTAATCATGAGAGGTTGTTGAGCTGTATACATTTTTTGGTAATTCTTTCTCAGTGCCTCTTAGGTGTCATAGTAAACACTGAATGTAACAAAATCTAAGGGACCGAGAACAATAATGATTGAACAGTAAGAGTTAGAATTGACTTCAGCAAGGCATTGTACAAAAATTGTGAACTTTTTTGGGGCTACATGAGTTACCTCTGTTGGTTGTCTCCATTAGGTGAAGCTTGCCCACCAGGAATCTGAGCTGCTGCAGATGTTGAAGAAGATCCCTCTGTGGCCGGCCGAGCTGGGTGTCCTGCGGGAAAGGGCAGAACAGCTGCGTGACGGCAAACTGCAGACAAGAGGCGACGCTCTTCTGCCGCTACACCTTGCTACTTTCATCTTTGACTCACTTTGTCTTCCAGGTGTTGTTGCAAGTAAGCATATTGATTTTAACTTTCAGCTGATTCAAAGTTTGTGGAGTGATTTCAGTAAAATGATGATCAGGTGAAGTTCACCATTATGATCAGCTCTAGTGCTGAAAGTTTGAGAGTGATGTACTTAATCATACACATGATGGAATAGAATTAACCTGCATTTGTTCCAGTTACTGTTTCATGTTTCTTAGATTATGCTGATGTTGAAACATACCCAAAAATGTTCCTTCATGGGGTATTTTACTTAATTCATAATGTTTAACTTTTTTCAGACAGAAGCTTGGCAGATGAGAAGCTTGGATTTGAGGCTGCTGTGACAGCATTAGGTGGGTGCTTTATGTTAGTGTGACAGAGGCTATGGTTATAAATGTAGTCATGGTATGCCTAAAGGGAGATAAGTGGTGTGCATAGTACCAGTTTTCTCCCTTTCTTGCAGACATTTTCTTCTTATAGGAATTACAAAGACTGGCCATCTGGGATGGATAACTGAGGTTGGGTGGGTCCTGAGTTAGCCTGGGTACCCACAGGACTACCCCTGATGTTGTACCGAGATGGCTAGTTGCAGGATATATTATTTAATATCAGTAAAACTTCATGGTTAAACTGCATGTCAATAATGTTTGCATTTTCTTCTGACCCTTATTTATTAAAATAATTTCAGTGTATTCATGGTCAGATAATTTTATACGTGTATGTAATTAGTTTTTGCTAGAACTCCAGAAAAAAGTAATCCCCATTGGACATTTTGTAACCAGCTCAGGTATCCATGTAGGGTCGGGTAGTAATTGCAGAAGATCCATCCCAGCCTTACTGCCTATGTCTTATTGTGTGTTTGTTAGTTGCCTGTTCACAATGTGTGTGTATGATTTAAGGTTTAAAAGCGAATGTGTCAGAGGCTGAGCATCCGCTGCTTTGCGAGAGCACACGGAGACAGAGGGGAGAGCTAGCCATGTCCATGTTGGTTCAGTACAAAGATGACCAGGTCAAGCTTAGTAAGGTCAGTGTCATAGTCGAAAATGGCCTATCATTTGTGTCATTTGTAACAGAGTCTACTTCTAGATACTTGCATTGTGTATTTGAACCAAAAAATGTATACATTGTTGTGAAACTTAATCATGTGTTCATGTAATTTATTCTTGAGGAACTAAACTGCCTTTTCAGTATTGAGTTAAATGTAAATAGTCATTGTTTCCGTTTTGACTTTGTTGAGACAATAGGTTTTCTGGACAGATATTATGTTGTTCAAAGTGCTGCTTTATCAGTTTTCTTCTGATGATCAATATTTAATTGTAATGTGTAAAAGCTAATGAGAAAGTGAAAGTGAAATAAGCACCAATTGCAAACATTGACTTTTACTTCTGCAGATAATGGACAAATTGCTGGACAAGGAAGTCCATCAACACTTCAAAGCTCCGAGCCTGGTGACCTACCTGTCGAGTAGCAAGACCTCATCTAGTCAGGGCCCATTACCAGGGCCTAGTCATGCTGCCGCCCAGGGTGATCTGCTGGGAGCTGTTGGAAACATCTCCGCCCACCCCAACTCAGACATGGACAATTTGTTTGTACCAGACCGAGCACCAATGATGGGAGGTGGCAACCCTGATATAGGTGGCCAGTGGCAGGATGTAAGACCTGGACCGTCAGGGGGAGCTGATGCCCTTCCCCCTCAACACCCCTCCCACTCTGGCAGTGGGATGATCACAGGAGGGGCCAGGCCCAAAACTTACACTCACAGATATAATATGAACAGGTTGGTATTGTCACAGATATATCATTAACACGTCAGTACACTCACTGATATGACATCAACAGTTAGTTACACTCTTGGAAATGACAGATCAGTATACTCACATGTATAACATCAACAGGTCAGTATATTCACATGTATAACATCAACAGGTCATTACATTCACATATAAAACATCAACAGGCCATTACACTCACATGTATAACATCAACAGGTCATTATACTCATATATATATCATCAACAGGTCATTACACTCACATATAAAGCATCAACAGGTCATTACACTCACATATAAAGCATCAACAGGTCATTACACTCACATATAAAACATCAACAGGTCATTACACTCACATATAAAACATCAACAGGTCATTACACTCACATATATAACATCAACAGGTCATTACACTCACATATAGAACAACGTGTCAGTACATGGGCAGATACACATCAACTGGCCAGTACACTCGCATATACAACATGACTGTGTCAGCTCTAAGAAGGGACCATTTGTTGTAAGGGACCGTTCATAATTTATGACTAGGGGGGGTGATGATGATGTTTATGGAGAAGCATGTACAATGTTAATCTCTCTCCCCCCCATAAATTAAATGTACAAAATAAGTGACCCCCCTGCATGTCATGTACAAAATCAATGACCCCCTTCCCCCTTCTCATAGTTTCTAAGCAAAATCAATTAACACCCCCAGTACATGTTTACAAAATTGATGACCCCCCAACTCCCCAGAACAAAATGGGTGACCCCCCTTAAAATCATCATCACCCCCCTATCCATAAATTATGAACGGTCCCTAAATACAGCATTGTGCAAAGGGCTGTTTAATTGCCTTGTAGGAGTTCACAAAAACATTTTGCTTTTTCGACTTCTTAACAAAGTTTTCAGTTTTCTAAACACCCATGGACCTTTGTTAAGGCAATCAGAGTATTATTTCTTGGATGTGATTTCAAGAATCACCAGCTTACAAATATGACAACCCTGGTCTACAAGACACTATTTGATGGTGATGTGGAGGGTGCAAATAGTATACAGACTGTTGTGTTCCAGTGGCAAGGACACTGACAGCTCTGCCCTGGAGGAAGAGGGAGATGACATCAAGGCTCTGGAAGCCAAGATCAGGTGTCTGGGTATGAAGAAGAAGCCTTCCCAAGGTCAGTAGACAAGCAGTGAAAGTATGAGTGTAGTTTGTGCCACAGTCAGCAAAGTTTCAGCTAAGGCAGTCTGTTAACACAGTCAAACACTGTTTTGTCCAAGTTGAGGGGATTTACAAATATACATTGAGTTATCTGAGTTTTGACTCGTAAAGGTGTGACTAGGTAAGACTTTGCATGGACCAAGTTTTACTTCAAGACAAGTACACTCATCAATGTTTGACTGGACTCATGTTTGGGCCAGCAAATAATAATATCTCAAGCAACATACTATAATGTTAGCTACGATTGCATGCAGTAAGCTAAGTCAACAAGCCAGACCACCTCATCCATTTTAACAATTACTACAACAATAAATAGAGTGCTGGTGTTTATCCAAGACCACATTAGGTTGGAAAATCTTCTTAATACTCACTAGGGAATCGGTTATGATATCCTGATCTTAAGTTTGAAAACGTAGTTGATGATTTGTGAGTTATTGACCATTAAAGGGAATAGACACATTTGGCATATAGGACAGGTGATCTTCTGTGGTTATAGTCCAAAGTTACCCTTTCTGTCAGTTTGATATTCCATGTTTCCCAGTTGTCAAAGGCACAACAGTTCACCAAGCAGAATTGCCCCCAAGGCATGCCAGAAACTTATCAATATTTGCCTAGTTATGTTCTAAGTTTGTCAATATCATAGATGTGCTTATGGATTTTATCACCCGTGAAGATCTGGGTTAGAACTGATTTTCTTCTCGCTGACTTGGGTGACACATGTCATCATACCCAGTTACGTAGATCGATGCTCATGCTGTTGATCACTGGATTGTCTGGTCCAGGCTCGTTTATTTACAGAATACCGCCATATGGCTGGAACATTGCTGAGTGTGGCGTAAAACTAAACTCACTCACTCAATCATTATGGATTTTATCACAGTGGTGAACATCTAAGACTTGCATCACTGTTAGGGCATTCTCACACACCAACTAACGTGTTGTCATGTAACAGAAATACTGTCCAAAGAGGCGTTAAACCCCACGTTCACTCACTGTATGAGATTGAGACATCAGAGATGTAGGAACTGTACTCTGTGTGTTGCAGGTATGGCCAGTATTGACAGCAGTGCACCGGAAACAACATCAAGCGACAACTCCCCAACCCTGGTGCGACGCAACTTCGGCAAACACCAGGGTCCCGGCAGCGACTGCGGCAGCAGTGGGGACAGCAGCGACTCCCTTGGCTCCAGCAGCTCTGGGGACAAGGGCGCTCGAGGCCTGCAAAGAGACAACGAAAGGTGCGCTACTTATCTTGCTGATCATGGGGGCCGATGGCAATTTATAACCAAGAACTAGTTTCTGAATTTCATGTCAAATTTTATGGATTTGTCTTTGGTTTTTGTTATATTCATGTGATCTCAACATGAAGTAGACCATCCAACTTGTACCAGAGCTTGTGTCTATCATCCAGCCTGTCATTCCACCTCAAGAGTGATCACTCAAGAATAATAAATAGCCAAATTGGTCAATGTTAGGTAGGGTAAAATGTCACATTGGCATTCAGATGGTTTCCAAATCCTGAATACTGAATAATTTTCATACTTGCAAAGCACAGTATGTCACTAACGAGATCACATGAGACCATAAGTTTTTCTGAATGGTGACTGAAACCATTATTAAAGAACTTTATACAATTCGGTTTGACAATCTGTTTTCATAATCAGTCTGATGTGTTGATTTTAATGACACATGACTGGATTCTTGACAAATATCAATGTACTTAAACCCAATTTAGATTGTGTTTAGTCATCTATTTTGAAGTCCTATATTTGTCAAATGCTTTCTTCCATAAATGGTTGTGAAAAGTCTTTTGAACTGAACATGTGCAACACTTACACTTGTAACCAAACAGGGCAGTGGGGTTGTCTAGTGGTTAAAGCGTTGGCTCATCACACCGAAGACCCGGGTTCAAATCCCCACATGGGTACAATGAGTGAAGCCCATTTCTGGTGTCCCCTGCCGTGATATTGCTGGAATATTGCTAAAAGCGGCGTAAAACCAAACTCAGTCAGTGTGATCAAACAGGGTCAATTGTAGAATGCCTATCAATATATAAGATTCAGCACAGTATGCCCCTGACAGACAAGGACTTGTCAACATCTTCGATGTATTTCCAGTCCGCCCAGTCCATACATCAACAGGATCCTGCCCTCACAGCTCATGATGGACTCGAGAAGCTCAACTCCAAACATCAAGGGAATTAGGTAACTTAACATTGAGTGTTTGATGATATTCTCACTTAAAATAATTCTGGAATGTGTGTTTATGGTTGTTGTAATTCTGAGATTTCCACATTTTTTTTAAGAAAGCAGATATATTGTTGTCTAAATTCAAGAAAATGGTTGGTACATGTAAATGAGTGGTCCTCCAGAATCCACTCCAGTATGCAAACCCAATTTAGATCTTTAATCGCAAGAGATGCCCATTGGGTCATTATCCCAGTCTGCTGTAGATGATTGGTCAGAAAAGCCGGTAAAGGGGACCATTTGTGACCTGCGGCTCCCAAAATGAAGAAACACCCTGATCTACACCACATGTTAGCATCACAGTGTATGTAATCTGTTCTAGGTACAAGGGAAAGAACCGCATCATGCCAACAGTGCCCAACCAGCCTAGCTGAAGCTTCTGCCCACTTCATGTTTGAGCTTGCTAAGACTGTGTTGATGAAGGCAGGAGGTAACAGCTCAACGTCACTCTTCACACAGCCTTCTAACAGCAACAACCAGCATGGCCCTCACAGGAACCTGCATCTATGTGCGTTCCAGATAGGCTTGTATGCCCTTGGACTCAGCAACTGCGTAGCGCCCAACTGGCTGTCTAGAACTTACTCCTCCCACGTGTCATGGATCACAGGTACGTATGTTTTAGGCTTGGCAAATGTTTCTGAGCTGCAAGACCTTCATACTGCTATTATTTTGGTGTAAAATATTCACTGGTTGTCATGCATAGGTGCAAGCATACCAATCTGTCATAGTTTAGCATTCTTATAGACATGTTTTCATCTAGTCTGGACTATATTATTAAAACCAAAAGTAAAAGCAAACTGTTCATTAAAAAGTAATGTTTCCACTTTTAAGAAAGAGTGAATATGAGATTCACTGGTATGGTTATTCACCTGATAAGGTAAGTAAGCAGCTTCTCCTGCACAAAATAGGTTTTGTTTTACAAATTTAGTGTCACTGACATATTCAAAGAAATATCAATGCAGTTAATAGTATCTTAATGCTGAGCTTCCAAGTTTTGGACGACAGACTTTCAGTATTTGTCAATGCAGCATTGTGTCATTTAATTCATGTGATAGAAATGGAATGAAATAATTAATTAGCATTAACATTGCTCATTGTACTGTTGTAGGTCAAGCCATGGAAATTGGCAGTGCAGCAATCAGGATACTGATCGACACATGGGAGGGTCATTTGACTCCTCCAGAGGTGGCCTCCCTCGCAGACAGAGCAGCAAGAGGGCGTGACCCCAACATGGCAAAAACTGCAGCAGAGCTTGCTTTGTCCTGCTTGCCACATGCTCACCCTCAACCCTACAGAGGTGCAGCGAGCCTTGTTCCAGTGCAAAGAGCAGAGTCAGGAGATGCTGGAGAAGGCATGTCTGGCTGTGGAGACTGCAGCAGAGGGAGGGGGAGTCTTCCCCGAGGTGCTCTTTGATGTGGCCAGACACTGGCATGAACTATCTGAGGAGGCTGCACAAAAGACATCATCTGAAGCTGTGGATGTCTGTGCCAACGCTGCCAGGGCAGTGCGAGTGGAGCCCGAAAATCAGGCTCCTGTGGCTGTTCCTGTTGTTGCTGCTCCTGTCCAGCCGGTGGCTAACAACCCTGACAGGAATAGCCCCTCAGCCCACCCAGTCCTTCCCTACAACCACAACCCACCCCAGAGCCAAGCTAACGCTACAGCTAGTCCTCAGCTCCTGACTCATAGCAGCAATCCTGTGGCACACCAGGCCGTTGTACTAAGCCCCTATGCTATTCCACAGACTGGTCCTCACCATGCACAGCTACCTCAAGCATATGTACAACACTATAATAACTGTTATGTTCAACAAGTGCCTGCTGCTGCCTTCAGCCACTACTCACAGCCACACTTAGTACACCCTCAAAGTATCCATCCAGCCTACGTGACCCAGTACTACCAAAACCAGGCTCCATACGGCAACATCCAGAACCTGTCTGGACACTCCCAAGTGTATCACACATCTGCCACCCACATCCGACCAATCACCCCAGCGGTTCCCATCTACGCTGGAGCTAACTGCCAAGTGGCAACAGTCCAAAACATCTCCAACCCCATCTCCAGTCACATTCACGGACTCCACCAGCTGGAGCCAGCCACCAGCACAGCCTCCACTGGGACAATCGGTCAGATCGCGGTCGCCAGTCCCCAGCCAGCCGCCCAGCCCCCTGTACACAATCAGGAGCAGCTCAAGTACCTGATGGCAGCCTTCAGGGTGGGCATGTCGGCTATGGAGACACTTGCTCGTCGTGTCCACGACGACCGCCCTCAGACAAAGTATGCTCGGGAACCCACCCTATGGGGAGGATGTGAAATGGCTCCTGGCTATAGGCATCAAACTAGGTGAGTTCACAGTCATTATTTAATGATATTGGCCTTGTTATGTTTGGCGCATTGAGGTTAAAGAGTGAGACCATGAACCACTTATGATTTCCAACATGGCCATGACACTGATATTTCTCACAGTTGTGTTGCTACAACATTGTCCAGGCTTAAAACCACTTACTTGATAATTGAACAGAGATCCAGATCCACATGGAAACATAACATGCTGTCCTATATTGAGGCAATATTAGGACGTGTAATTAATTAAATCATTTTTCACTTCCTGATGTCAGTGAGTGAGTTAGTTTTATGCTGCACTCAGCAGTTTTCCCGCTATATGCCGGAAGTCTGTAAATCATTGAGTCTGGAACAGACAATCCAGTGATCAACAGCATGAGCATCGGCCTACGTAGTTAGGATACAATGACATGTCATCCCGTTAGTCTCTTCTTGTGACAAACATGAGTTACTGAAGATCAATTCTAACCCAGATCTTCACAGGTCTCCTGATGTCAGTAATTTACATACTTTATTGCAGAACATATTGATTATCAGCACATATTACTTGTATACAGTAATTCCATGCAGTTCCCATAATGTAGATGTGTTTGTATTTGCAGGAACATCAACTCTCCAGCAATTCTGTGCCAGTGCAGTGAATGCTGTAGTAAGCCCCTTCGTCCTGTATGACCTAGCATCCGAGGCAGCCCGCTTCCTGGCCAGGAACAACCAAGCCCATGTGCCTAGTCAGCTTAGATCCAACATCCTCAACTCCATGTTCCAGAAGTGTCTGCAGATGTCAGTACCTACTCCTATCTACTTACATCTAGAAACATTGTTTCAAGTATCTCGATAAACTGTAAACCAAAGATTTGATCCTTCATTTTAAAATTGTCACTATTTCTCTCTGTTCTTTCAAGATTTCTGGATAGTCATAGGATGTGTGTTTTGTTTATAAAATGTTGATGTTTGCCATGTTATCAGGGTCTTTTTATCTATAGAGATGATGGTGAGCATGTAAAAATAGCTGAGATTTCAAATAATGTCATCAATTTGACTAGATCTTCAAATTGGTTTGGTTGTTTTTTACCTGTTCTGATTTTCTCCAATGTTGCTGATGGCCTAATTCCTGAGTCTCTTAATTCACAGTGCAGAGTAATGTCCCTTGGCTATGCCAAAAACTTCTTTTCACCATTAACATGATCCTTAATTTGTCAGCCTTTAACTCTTGGATTTAACCAAGGTGGCTGGGTGGGTTAGATAGCTGATTAGGTGTCTGAACTCTGACGTTTTGAAGCCCGGAGGGTACTCAACCTAACAAAAGTGCTGGTAAAGTACTTTACCAAGAATGTGTAATCCCAAACATAACATGGTTACATTTGACCACTTTCGAAATGGCATTGTGTATTCCTACCTATGTTCTGTATCAATTGAGAGGAGATTCCAGGTGAAAATAGTTTGCCAGAGGTGACTTGAAGGATCAGGTGGTCTGGCTTGATGACTTAACTGGCATTGCTCATAAAATCAGTCGATGGTTTATCTAGTCCTGACTCAAATATAGAGGCCACTCTAGTACAGCTGGAATTTTGCTGAGTGTTTGTTCCACATTCGTGGACATGCTGTGATGTGATGTTCTATTACTCCATCTAGTACCACCCAAAACTTCGGCCAGGATACATGTCCAGTCTTTTTAATGGTCTTTACCTTGTTTTGAGTAGTTCCTGACGTGCCTTATTTAATTGCAGGTTCATACAGTGTGCCCATCAGAGAATTCATCACATCACATACGCTGACTACGACGACTTCGTCAGCACAATCTGCAGCGCCCGTAACGCATTCTTCATGGCCCCTGGTGGTGTCGTGCAGTTTAATGAACTTCTACAAAGCCTGCGACGCTCAAAATCGTGTCGAAAAGACCTATGGCAGAAGATCATGGGAGGTCTAGCTACAGGCAGTGTTTGACGACAGGTTTTAGGTCCTTAGTCAATTGTAGTTCAGATATTGTGTTCAGATGTTGGATGATAATGACTTATATTTGTAGCAAAAATGAAGTCCTGTTATTTTTTGTCTATGAAAATGAAAAAAAAATACATAAAAAATTTACCAACAAACTGCCAGGATTTTTGTGTGTGTTGAGATGTGAATGCACACTTTGTGAGGCACTTCTTGGAAGTGTATATATACATGTATTACGAATAGTAATTGTTAGAATTTTAACGTACTTAAAACATTGTACCTGTTCTGCATGTTATTTTAGATTGTGAGAAAGTAATTTAAAGAGTATTTTTGAAAAATGCTTAATAAGCTGTTAAGTTGTTGAGCTTTTTCAGCATTCACCTGTATTTCCTCATCTTATTTCCCTTCCTTTTTTCGTCATGTATTTAAACTTCATATTTATATACCCTTGTTAATCATATTTTATACATTCATTAGTTTGATTTCATTGATCTTTAGATATTATTGGTTATGTTTTCTTTGCATCTGTTGAATGTTGATTCCTTATTTTGCCATATCTTACAATTTCTACAGAACAATTTCATATTCTGTTGTTGTATTTACAGCTTTATTATGGTATTTTGAATAAAGCATTATTTTACATATCCAAAGATTGGTCACTTAATTTTGAAACAAGGAAATTAGATTTTCAGCTTTATTCACTGATTTCAGACTGCGTAAAATTTCAATTGACATGTAGTTATAGACACAGGGTTTGTTCATATTATCTCACAGTATTCGTCATAGGATTCAGGTTGTGTCACATCATACCACTCAATGTGAAATTGTTTTGTTGACTTCTGTATACAGAGACAAAGACTATTCTACGTTTATTTTATTACCCATTGGGGTTCTTGTTCTACAAAATACTGTTTATCAATGCCATCACCAAATATATACATAGAAACGAATCATGTCAGTGAAACTGAAGTTATTATTTCTCATCACAAACCCATCACTCGTTCACAGGGAACAATTACCCTGTTCACTCTTCTAAGAAACCAGCTAATGGCTAAATGTTAATAATGTTTAAGTGAACTGTGTTTCTTCGAAAGGAAAATATTTACATTCTGTGAAATGGGATTGAGATGCGCCACACAGATTATATAAGCCATAGTGTATCACTAAATCTTTCTTCACATTCCATTTAGATTGCATCTCTTTAAACCGCTATTCCATGCATACAATTTACAGAGGCATCATTTCCAACACTTCAAACGGAACTAAAATAATAAGTATAATATTCTGATATTGTTTCAGTTCAATTCCAGACAACTATTTCTCATCTTTGGGGAGAAGTGAAACATTGATAGGTGTCAGTCCAAGTTAATTATGACTAAATATTTGATATGCAAAGTAATACTTTAAATCCTATGCAAAAGAATTCAAAACAACAGGTTCATTTGCCCAAACACATTATAATCTACTATTCAGATTTCATGATTCATCCGTTGTCTGAATGTCTATGCAAAAAATCATGTTGAGGTATCGCATATACAAATTTTAAATACTGCAGCGTTGTGAAAATAGCATAGAGCTTGCTACACATTGCAGAATTAATTTATTTTTGTACGCTGTCAACCATTAGTGACTTGTTTATTTGTAACATTTGAATCCACATATAGATCTTTTAGCAGTTCTAGGACATGTTGTGTTATTTCTGAGACATTTCAATTCAAAATCAACGTTTGTGCATCCTAAGCGATGTTACTTGGGTAGTATGAATATGATTTTTTGTAGTGATATTTCAATAAATCAAATATACATGTGCTTATGTAGTGGAAACGTTCAAATGTTTAAGGATACTGATCAGACCTTGTTATTTGAATCGCCAATATGAAGTTGCTCAATTTCTTTAATTTCTGCACAGGTAGATTAATGAGTAATAATATTGAGATAAATAATGGTTTAGTTGAACGATCATGTGACCTATGTAATGAGTGACAGATTTAGAGTGTGTCCATTCTATACCTCAAAAGTAGAAATGTGTTGGATGGGAGATTCCTGTAACAAATGTTTCATGAGATATTGTTTTCACTTATCCCATGTTTGGCAAAGTATGACTTGTTAGGATCGCCTAGCATATAGAAAGATTTCCTTACTGTATCAGGCTTGCAACAGGAGAACAGTTGGAGATGCTTGTCTGAGATAAAAATGGTAATTTATTTCTAAAAAGATAAGAAAATGAACATATGTTGTCCACATTTGGCAATCAAAATGTCATGCATTCTATCTACCATTAGTGTATAGCATAATTTCAGCTGTGAAGGATTCCACCAGGATATTAATGCTCAGGATATATTTAAACATGCAGCTAAAGGTTTCTCAGATTGAATAATTGGATTAAACTTGACTGTTTCATTTGAGTAACTGTTCTCGAAAGGAATGGTTGTTAAGCTACAAGGGCGCTGAAATCCAGATAGACAGCCTCTACAGCCCTGTTTGCAGGTTTAAGCTTATGGAAGACTTTAGCATTCATTTATTGCAAGTGGTGAAAGTAGGCTCCAAGCACCTGTCGCTTCCTTAGTGATCTTCCATTGACACAACAGGGTCTTGAATAACTTCTTAGGCTTCCATGAACCTCAGTCAGGAATAAGAAGAGCTCACTCAGAGGGTATTCTCGAAGACCAGGGGATGAACTGTGTCAAATACTTGTTATAAGGAGTCTTAAAAACGTGTTAGAGTTTATTTTGAAAAGTTGACTTCGGGGAAGATTTGTTGATGCCCATTTTGTACTGTGTGCTTGTAAGTTGTTTATGAGGACTGTTCTCTTGCTTCCTCATCTATTTAGGTGGCTATGTTGTCGTTAGTTCCATCAATTGCAGCAAGATCATAAATGCCATTCTGATGTTTTCTGTTGAAAATCATACATTAGAATGTTCAAAGTTGATTTTGAAATTCAAGTAGACTTTAAATTGTAACAAGGATTGTTAATTTAAAGGTCACTTATTTGCCATGAAGAAATTATGATTATTCTTCAGGTATCAGGAGTAAAACATTGAAGCTTTCATGTAAACTGTGCAGTTTTCATGGTTAGGAAGATGCAATTTGATGTAAACGAAGTGTATTAATATCATCTGAAACTAAGAACACAAGGAACTGTACCATTTTTAATATGAAAGCAAAGAAAAAAGTTTCAGTTGTAAGAGTTACTTCAAATCAGTGACCATTTCAGCAATATTTCATTGATTGTTTTCATAACTCTCATTTGTCACCATTTGATGTTTTATGTCATTTCTGAATGAATGTTAATCTTTGTCAAATTAAATACAAGAATGAGTGCAATAATAATAATGACTTCATTTCAATTGTCATACTCATTTTCCAAATTACCAGTTGATCATTTTTATAAGTAGATGCTGATATATTTTCTTGGTTTATTTATTCCTCGGAATTGCTCATTTATTTATGTGTGCAGTCTTGTTGCAATGTTGAGAACATGACACATGGATTGACAGTTCGGCAGGTTCTCAAGTTATGCTGTTAAAACTATTTTCAAAAGTGATGAAATTCAAGACCTCAACAAAAAACATGGTCTTATCAAGATAAATATTTTATATCAAAATTCAAACATAAGGTCCAAGATGCATTTTAGCTTTGAAAAAAAAGATTTTTATGGAATTATTTTTGTCAGTCAGATACAAGCAATCTGATGCCTCCAAGAAATGTGGCATTACATTGCATGCTCGTTTGTCCAGTGTATTATATCTCAAGACAATTTTCACAAATACCCTCAACTCATTCCCCATTGTAGGTTTGTTTTGAGCTGAACAACAATAGCATGATGCTTAAAATGGTCATTCAGTCGAATTACTCGAATGAGTTAAGTCAGAGAGAAAAGCAGTTGTTACTGATACATCACTTCCGAAATAAAGCTGTAGTGGTGACTGGGTCCAGGGTATATATTCTAGGAGAGAGATTTCAAGGGAGATAATACACTGTATAAAATAATCTTGGATGCTACCTTGCAGCCCATGTGCCATTAAGATGCCAGTCCAATGTTCCATTTTGAACTATTTTTTGAGAATTAGTTGATCTCTTTAACTCATGCCTCCATGATTAGAATGTCTGCGAATCATTGCAGTTATGTCATGAACCTGTTAAGTATGTGAAATGTGTTACTTCTTTGTCGAATGTTGATAAATCACATCACTTTAAGAACTATTAATTCAACTTTATTCAATCCGCTCATTGTTTATAAATTTTCATGGCCGCCTATTCATGGTGCAAATTTTCAATGTCACTTGTATAAAGATGTTCATGATATAAGCTAATACTATTCTGCAGCGCTGCTTCTTTTACATTAAATTATCATTCAGTAACTTCTTTAAAACGTAACTGTTCCTTTGTTTGAAGGATGTGGCTTTTGTCAATGTTGCCTCCATTCTTTGGATCAGAATATATAGATTCAGAATGTGATTGACTATCATCACAGGTAACAGCCCCTCTTCAGGAATCATACTGTAGAAAACTACCATTTGGGGAAAAAATGTTTGCACTGAACTTCCAGGATACCAGAAAATTCTTGAACCATTCACCTTCGAGGCATTGCCCACCCTAATTTTGTACCTTCCATTCTGTACCATCACTGAGCTGGGAAACAGTGTAAGAACAGTCACTGCTTGCTTTGTTTGATTTCTGCTTTAGACAGTATTAAATACGTTCCTGTCAATTAATTTATTGGTTAAATATGCTGTTTCTATCAGCCTTGTACTGTTTGTGTCTGTGAATTTGGTGATGATAACTTTGTTTCAATAAAGAACTTTGTCCAACAACCTCAGAGAGTGTTTCTGTCTTTGTTTTTGCAAAATCTGTGCAATGTTTTATACAGTTTACACTTTGATAATGCAAAGTCATATCAAGTATAATGAACAATTATGTCAAGAACTTGAAGCACAGGTTATTTCATCATTAAGGCATGAATGAATGTTGACAATACAAAATCTATAACACGTATGACACATCTACAGTGCCATCACATATCACAAACTCCCATCATTCTGCTTAATGAATTTAGGGTAGAAACAAGCACAAAAAGAATGGCATGGTAGGCCAAACCATTGCCATTACTTGATATTTATTTCTTTTGAAGTGCACTACTAACACCTATTTCAAGAGTGTTGTGAAACTGACATGTAGCTATAACCAAGGCCTTTCAATGGAACATGGAAAATGACATTTATTTGTCTAAAGTTTGGACCAGTGAAACTTCAGCTTTGCTGGAAGAATAGCAACAATAACTAATGATGACTCCCTTCTGCTGAAAAGGCCAAGGATTCTATGTCGTGGGATGCCAGGGTGGCCATCATCATGGACATTTTTCCAAAAAGCCAGACAATAAATGGAGAATAGTATGAAACATGTTTGAGCCAGTGACAGGATGGCATTATGATGATGAAAGATGGAAATATTGTGCTTACATCAGTGGCCGTATGCATATGTCGGGCGTAAATCAGTCACGGCTACATTCCAGAAGTGAACTCCTTCAGCACCTTTTTATTCTCCAGGGTTTCGTTGTACAGAACGACCTAAGCGCTAGGTCTTTCGTAAAGCTACGTTGAAGTATGGGACTTACGATCACCTTAGAGCTAAAGTTGTTTTGTACAACGGCACCCTGATCTGTCTGCACCCGACTTCATCTGTTCCTAGCCTGGGTGGCAGGGGATAATTGATATTCTCATGAACAACCAAAGGGTAGCACCTTATGCGGTTGATATGAATTATGCGGTCCATATTGACTTGTGGCCCCCGTTAGAACCTTCATTCCGCTATGCTAAAATATGGTGTATATCAATGTCTTGTAAATATTGTGAAAATAAACGAAAACAAACACATAGCCTTTATCCACGTATGATACTGAACAATCCTAAATGTTGAACAAAATATGCGAAAGATACGCAAAATATACATTATAACAGTGTATGAAATAAGGCCCGTCCGACCGCCCGAGACGGGCTAGATTTCTGACGGACGGTCTAAATTTACATCTAGCCAGCCCGATGGTCTGGTACAAGTTTTAAATGTTCCATACATCTAAGTTAATTCACCATATTTGGTCTGGTTAAATCCATTTTGGGCTGGTAACATTTTTAAGTTACCAGTCCTGATGTCTGGCTGGATTTTTGGCTTATTTCATACACTGATTAAAATGAAAATAAGCAGCAGGATAGGAAAGGATGCTTGCTCTTATTCAACCGACCTTCACCTGAAAGAAATATTGCCAAATATATACAACAATGTTGACCTGTGACAACATTAGCGATGACTGAATTTTTCAAAATGGCCGGTTAGCTGATATCAGTAAGAAGCATTTTGCGAAGGTCCTTCCCTTGACTTGTACATAAATATATGGTGTAAGTAATCAGAAACATCCTGACTATCTGCGTATTGTTAGTTTGTTGTTGTTTTTATTGTAACCAAAAGAAGTTGTCAGAAATGTTGATAAATACCGTTGTCGTTGCGCGTGATATTGCGTCAGTCATTGCGTCTCAGATAGGACGGAAACTTTGACAATTTCGTTTGAATTCACCAAATTATTGTTCTGAAAGTATTGTTAATTCCCTTATTCTCCTTTTTTTAAAAAATCTCTTCCCATGCATATTCCAAAATTGCAGAAACCAATTAATGTATGCAACGAATAGACAAATGGATGTCTGAAAATGAAGAAAATCAACGTGTAAAAACTGAATACCGTATTTCCTCTAAAAGCGCCGGGCCTCTAATAACCGCCGGGGATAAAGCAGTGCTTAAGAAATAAGCACCGGGCCTCTAATAAGCGCCGGATCTCTAATAAGCGCCGGGTATAGACCTTTGCATTTTTTAGCAAATGTATTCTCCCTTGGTCTAAAAATAAATATATTAAGGAATGGTCCCTTAAATCATAACTTCATGTACTCATCCCTGCTTTTAAAAATACAGTGTATTTTAATAAGCGCCGGGCCTCTAATAAGCGCCGGGTCTGGAGGTCCGTTGAAAAAATACGCGCCAGGGGCGCTTATTAGATGAAATACGGTACTTTGGGTTTTATATATTGCAAACAAGGGCAATCTTACGTGCAATATAGTATTTATTATTTCATCTAGATACTTGCTATTGGTGAAAAAGACAATGCGTTGGTTCATTCGCCGCACTCAGCAATATCCCAGCTGTACGACTGGGGTCTCAAAATAATCAAGTCTGAACCAGACAGTCCAGTGATTGACGTCAAGCATCGATCTACGCATTTGGCAGATGAAATGTATTAAGCAAGTCACGGAGCCTGACCACTCGATCTCGTTAGACGCCTCTTAAGACAAACATGGATTGCTGAAGGACCACCTGTTGTATACCATGAGATCATTTATGGAATTGAAAAGCAAATGTCTAAACAGTTGGAATGAAACGTGTTTTTAAAGATTTCATTTTAATTACACTAATTAATAAAGCATGTGGACTTTCCGCTCTGTCGAATGGAAACGGTTTGATCAGTACTGGAACGAGGGCGCCAAGGAAACTTAATGTCCACTGAAAACTGTTAGAATCACACACGTTATATAAATGAAAACGTATTTTAAAGTGACCCGTTTTGAACGAGGGCGCCAAGCAAACTTCGCGTCAGAGTTGCGCCCCTTGGAAAAGTAGTAGCTATGACGACATCGGCATTGTTACGCTGACGTTCTGTGATGTAACACGTCTATTGGAACGAAAGCATTTTCACGTTTTGACAGGATAAAAGATTCACCATTTAGCCGTAGTAATGGCAGGTAAGTATTGCTCATCAAGGGAACACCATTAACTCGCAGTTTGTTGTATTTCCTATTTACTAGATGTTATTCTTTGTCAATGAATTCATTAATTTGATTAATATGGCACGTTTACTGTTATCCCAAAGAAATGTCCAAATCTCTCTACAATCTCTCTTATTCTCTGCTAACTATACCCATTTCATCAAGATATTAAATAAAGTTTAGTCGTTGAGAATATTGGTAATGTAGGCAACATGTCTTCTCTCTGCAGAATTTGACGCCAGACAATATTTCTTGCAAACCCGTATAAACAGCACTGGAGCTTCACTCTTTCACCAGGTGAGACTGGACCCTTCATCTACCCATTTTATAATTATTTCCCATTTGTGTGAATTCCTTTCGTTATTATTTATGAATTATATACATAGTTTGCAAATCAATAAAAAAAAATCACACAGCTATACGTGATGTTATTTTTAAGATCTGTGGATCCGATATAAAACTGGAACTGCATGCTATGACAGAAGATATATTATGAACTAATTTCAATATTTTGTGGTCACAGGGGTATCTATTGAGGCAGCAGTACCACCTCTACGACAAAGATGGTGATGCCTTCATGTGGAACCAGGATTCATTGACTGGGGTATGTGATTTCATGGAACTATAGACAAACAGGTTATTTTTATACACGTGCATTATTGCGATTTGTGATCGCCTTTCTGGCGCACCTCGCCGGATATTGCTAAAAGGATGCTAACTAGCGCTGTAAATCCGCTATAGCGATTAATAGTGAGAACCGAATAACAATTAGAAACCGTCACTAGGAAAGCTTTTCCGCCGTACGTGAACATTGTCCACAGACAGTACGTACAAGAAGTGTGATTAAGATTATATCTATGTATTTTCAGGAGTTGCCAATGGACACAACAGAGACTCCAGATGATTCGCAGGTAAATATATAGCGGAAGTTAACTGGCAGAACATGTGCTTCTCCTGTCAATATTAGTGAATCAATGATTGGGACCATTCGTTTTTAGCATGCCTAAACATAATTTTAGAGTTTGGCTATTTGATTATACTCCCCAGTGACCTGTGATTAGATGATTGATATAGATCGGGTGGTCAGATTCGGGGATCGAGTGTCATCTCACCTGGGATGTTGTTGCTGATAATATCAACCACTGGTTTGTCTTGACTGAAACTCGATTATCTACAGCCTGACTATATACTACTTACCTAACCCAGTCGTTAATTCTTATGATATAAGTAAACCACGCCCCATGTTACTCATGGTGCGGAGCATAGAACGTTGTATCTGTCCCGAGGCTGGGTGGATACAGCTGAAGGAGTGTCTGTGTCTGTGTGTCTGCGTCTGTTTCCTTGTCTGTATCTGTTCCTCTTACCTCTGCAGATGGACTCTCTTCCTGCTCAAGGTGGATACATGCAGTATTCCGTCTTCCACTCTCAGGTATAGAGGTTCAACCAGTTCTCAACTCATTGTCACACTTAGGAAATGACAGATCCATCATTACATGTTCCGGGAGAGTTGGAGGTGCACAATGTTTGGGCCATTTGGGACAGAATATGGGCTCTTTTCTCCAACTTGTTTGGTGCCAGTGGGCATGTATCGTTTTAATGTCCAGTTTTGTCCCTTTTGACCTGTTCCCGTTTTAATATATAACCCCAAGTTTACGATCTGAAATCTCTGACTTGCCAGTAAGAAACCAGTATATGCCTTTCAGTATGTTCAGATACAATCAACGAAACATGTTAAAACTCATCCTTATCAGATGAGAAACATATATTCAGGTGATATGATTTAACTAGAATGAAATCTAAGGGGGGATACGGGCGGAAGTCTTTCCTAAATCTTAAATTGCTCCTCTTGTAGAGGTTCCATATCCCCTTGATTCAATATGAAAACTATCTTGCGTTTGAATAATCCAGGTGATCCTTTTGTCTACATTGTAGATGGACACCATTCCTGCACAGGCAGCGTATGCTCAGTACTCCGTGATGAAACAACAAGTAAGTCCTTTTGTAACACGTTAAAACACTTTCAATAACTAACGTTAAATTAGGTGAAAGAATTTGCTTCTGAGAACTGAAGTAAAACAATTAATCACTGGATGAAACATATCTTTCATTGCAAGTAATAGAGGCTGTACACGTTGTCTCCCTTTACTGCCAATGTTTTAACTATTAATAAAGTGTTTTAATATTTGTCCATGGTTAGCTTTTTTGCTTATCATATCTTAGTAATGAAACATTGTACGTGCATGACATTAAGTGAATGAGTGTATCTACTTTACAGATGGCTGCTGGCCCAGTATCTGACAACACACCACCCAACTGTGCAGGATCACCAAGGGTGAGGCTTGAATGAATTGAACTCAATACATTTTCCAATCTGTTTTATATCCTGATTTTTAATTAACATCAACATATTGTATCTTATAAAGTTTAAAAACAATTCATTTATGTCATTAAGAACTGTTATAGAATCATTATTAGATATATACAATCCTAATTATATTCTTTATCACAATAGTCTCTTTATGACAGACCATTAGAAGTATTAGACTGAACATTAAATATTTGGACTACCTGTTGGGACACTGCATCTATAAACGACCTGTCTCTTGTTTTCAGGTGCCTGTGAGCTACCTGGCCAAGCCAAAGTTACAACTTGTACAGTGGCGATATGGATCCTAGATGGAAGCATTAGTGAAAGGGGGGAGTAGAGGGGTCAGGGGGAGGGTAGTTTACATTCTCTTGTATCACATATCAGAGTGTGTGTGTGTGTGTGCGTGTGTGTGTGCGTGTGCGTGCGTGCGTGGCACACACTTGAGAGACGATGGTTGCAACTGGCAGAGTCATGGCAATATATATAATGATGCATTGTTATGTTAGCATGTTGGTACTTCCAAGAGAATGGATAAGTGGACTAACTTTAAATTCTCGGAGATATGTGGGGTAATTGTAAATACCTGGACGGATTTTACACAGCTATAGAAAGCCAGCAGAGAAAGAATCCCCGTCATCAGTCGATGATCAGTTCACTTGACAACTGCCAGGTCTCTCTAATGTTTAGGGTAGGAGCTGGGAGTAGTGTGTGACATGGAGGTCCACCATTAACCATGACATTGGTCAGAATGTACACTGTTGATGTTTGCAAGGGATTCAAATCAACGGAAAACAAACATTAGAGGTCAATATAGATGATTGGCAGCTTTGAAATGGTGCTAAACTGGAGAATATAGAGAAATATATACTGAATTTTGATAAGCTGCTTAAATGTTTTAAGATGTATTCACCAAAGGGTGACACGTGTCTTTATGAATGAACATTTGCTGCCATCACTGAGAATGTTATTTTACTCCAAGCTGTTTGTACTGAATATACATCTATTTACTGTTACTTGTGATATTGTAAACACGTACTGTGTCATACTGACATACCTTCTTTTGTTATCAAATCTTAATGTTGTTGATATTTATGCATATCTATGCTGTATTGTTACTATACTTTGTGAATGTACTTATATAGAATAAAGAAGTTTTATCATATTTTTGTGTTTTTTTTTATATTTTTAATACTGAGGGTTGCTTATGGATCTAATATTATAATTACATACTAAGATAGAGACCTGAAATAGAATGATGAACCAGTTACGTATTGAGTGCCATAAGCATACACTGGTCAGTTGGGACATGAATCAACACAATCATTGATGTTCAAACCCGGGTCAAGTCAAAACATTGATTACACAACAGTGTCGTTTCCTGTTGACTGGGTTCCGTTCTATTGCGCAACTTACCACAATAACCAGTCAGAAGTTTGCGACCAATTCATTTAGATGGATACATAAATATTAATCAGTATTATTAGATACATCTACGCACTTGTATATTGCAACACTACGCTCCTTCTAATCCCCGCAAACACGTCGTGCAGCGTGCTCTGTCGTACAGCGAGCTCTGACAAACGGAAACCTGGAAATTGTGGAAATATCATAACGAGGCTTTGCCGCTAGAAAAGTTTGGCGGTCTGGTACGGAATTGATATTATATCAATCACATTGTGCGTTACAGAACTACACTGAATAAGCGCGAAAAATACATAACAGGTGTAACCAGTGAGTCAGATGCAGTGTAAATCATTTTACGACCTCATCAAACAGGGGCAATCTGTGACGTCTGAGTTAAGGTCATGCTGCCTACACCTCGCCATAAAATATAGACATTATTAAAGTTTAAAATTAAAATTCATTTGTAAGTACCGTTTTCTTATGAAACAAGGAATTGGAATTCAGTGGAACCATAGTTGTTTGTGATGTCTATTTTTACTTTCAGACGAGAAAATTCGGATCGGCTGAAAGGTAGGTCATTGTCTGAATAGGTTGATGAGACTCATGAAGGGGACATTTTTCACTGATCAACATGATGATTCTGTAGATAAAGAACCATTCCCAGCCCCCGAGCTACTATGTGACTATTCCTATATCAACAAATTCACTCATGACTAGAAAAAAAGTTTTTGTGATTTAGATGAAGTGCCACGGTTGTGAGGGACTGGTCATATATTATTTTTGGTGGGTTGGGGGTGTGGTGGTTAAAGGTAGATCGGGTCTTTGAAATGGCTATTATATTGGCTGTTCCCCTTTCCCCACCATTAACAAATCCCCTCAATGCCACTGTCGGTTACATTCGACTGAGTGTATCACTAGAAGTGCCCCGGCGTAGAACCCAATCGTTCGTGTGTTTGTTGTTTAACGCCAGACTCAGTAATATTCCAGCTACATGACGGCGGCCTGTAAATAATCGAGTCTGGACCAGACAATCCAGTGATCAACAGCATGATCATCGATCTACGCAATTGGGATACGATGACATGTGTTAACCAGAGAGCCTGACCACCCGAGTCCGCTAGTCGCCATTTAGAACAAGCATGGGTTGTTGCTGAAGACGAATTTTAATCCTGATCTTCAGGGATCCGAACCCAAACAACAGGCGAACAATTTACCAAGTACGATTTACGCATCATTGATTAATGTATGGTGTACATACATGTTCATCTTTCTAAATATCAAACCTTTAAATGGTTTATGTACCGCGGGAGGAAACTCCCTCGAGTTAAAAGGGTATTGGTAAAAGTTCTCGGCACACAGCCACCCGTAACAGTCGTTGTTGACATCAGGCACCTCATGTCGAGTGGGAGGCAGTCTCTTATTTCCGTATCATGTAATCGTTTAATCAGTTGATTCTATATGGATTACTGACTGAGCTAGACATGTCACCTTGGACTGATACCAACTGAGTGCCCACTAGCCCTCCCTCTTCAGAAAAATCAGACACACTGTATCCTTGACCCTAGCATTATGGGAATTCAAATTTCCGGAACGGAAAACTCATTGGATATAATTGTGGCTTTGTTTAAGTCTCCCACTCACTCAAACAGTCAGTGACCTTCACTCACAAATCAATTTACTTATTCGCTCTCAAACACATCAAACTAGTTAATCATGTTGGTTCCACCACATTTTGTATGCCATGACATCACTGGTGGAAATAACAAATGAAACAGTTAGAATCATACACGTTTTATAAGGAAAATTCTTTCTAAAACTCAGCCTAAGTAAGTTAAACGTTTCGAACGAGAGCGCCAAGAAAACTTAGTGCCAGAGTTGCGCCCCTTGGAAGAGTAGTAGCTATGACATCATCGGCATTGTTACGTTCGTGCTCTGTGACGTAACACTGTCTATTGGCAAGGAAGCATTTTCACCTCTTGACAGGATAAAAGATTCCACATTTAGCCGTAGTAATGGCAGGTAAGCGTTGCCCATCAAGGGAACACCATTAACTCGCAGTTTGTTGTATTTACTATTTACTAGATGTTATTCTTTGTCAATGAATTCATTAATTTGATTAATATGGCACGTTTACTGTTTACGTTTACTAACAGAAATGTCATTTTTTTCTACAAACTTGTGGGTTGCTACAACGAATCCAAAAGTGTTAGCTTTATTACACATCAATTGCGCTGTCTTAAATGAACTATCAAAGCCTTATCTGATAAGTATACATACTTCATCAAGATTTTGTATAAAGTTTAGTCACTGAAGACATTGGTAATGTAGGCAGTGTGTCTTCTCTCTGCAGAATTTGACGCCAGACAATATTTCTTGCAAACCCGTATAAACAGCACTGGTGCTTCACTCTTTCACCAGGTGAGACTGGACCCTTCATCTACCCATTTTATAATTATTTCCCATTTGTGTGAATTCCTCTCATTATTATTTATGAATTATATACATAATTTGCAAATCAATAAAAAAAATCACACAGCTAGACGTGATGTTATTTTTAAGATGTGTGGATCCGATATAAAACTGGAACTGCATGCTATGACAGAAGATATATTATGAACTAATTTCAATATTTTCTGGTCACAGGGTTATCTATTGAGGCAGCAGTACCACTTCTATGACAAAGATGGTGATGCCTTCATGTGGAACCAGGTTTCATTGACTGGGGTATGTGATTTCATGGAACTAACTATAGACAAACAGGTTATTTTTATACACGTGCATTATTGCGATTTGTGATCCCCTTTCTGGCGCACCTCGCCGGATATTGCTAAAAGGATGCTAACTAGCGCTGTAAAACCCGCTATCGCGATTAATAGTGAGAACCGAATAACAATTAGAAACCGTCACTAGGAAAGCTTTTCAGCCGTACATGAACATAGTCCACAGACAGTACGTACAAGAAGTGTAATAACGATGATATCTATGTATTTTCAGGAGTTGCCAATGGACACAACAGAGACTACAGATGATTCACAGGTAAATATATAGAGGAAGTTTACTGGCAGAACATGTGCTTCTCCTGTCAATATTAGTGAATCAATGATTGGGACCATTCGTTTTTGAGCATGCCTAAACATAATTTTAGAGTTTGGCTATTGGATTATACTCCCCAGTGACCTGTGATTAGATGATTGATATAGATCGGGTGGTCAGATTCGGGGATCGAGTGTCATCTCACCTAGCTGGCCCGGGATGTTGTTGCTGATAATATCAACCACTGGTTTGTCTTGACTGAAACTCGATTATCTACAGCCTGACTATATACTACTTACCTAACCCAGTCGTTAATTCTTATGATATAAGTAAACCACGCCCCATGTTACTCATGGTGCGGAACATAGAACGTTGTATCTGTCCCGAAGCTGGGTGGATACAGCTGAAGGAGTGTCTGTGTCTGTGTCTGTTTCCTTGTCTGTGTCTGCGTCTGTTTCCTTGTCTGTATCTGAATTTGTTTCCTTGTCTGTATCTGTTCCTCTTCCCTCTGCAGATGGACTCTCTTCCTGCTCAAGGTGGATACATGCAATATTCCGTCTTCCACTCTCAGGTATAGTGAGTGAGTGAGTTTAGTTTTACGCCGCACTCAGCAATATCCCAGCTATATGGCGGCGGTCTGTAAACTCTCAGGTATAGAGGTTCAACCGTTCTCAACTCATTGTCACACTTAGGAAATCAGAGATCCATCACTACATACTTCAGGAGAGCTGGAGGTGCACAATGCTTGGGCCATTTGGGACAGACACTTTTTTGTGCCAGTGTGCATGTATGGTTTAGATATATATTCCCAAGTTCAATATAGAACAAACTTTATGGATAACAACTTCTTTTTATTCGTGAGTGCGACGTTTCGATACAGATTCTTGTACCGTTGTCAAGCATAAGGCAGAAAGTTGATGAAGCCAGAGAGTAGACAAAGGACAGGCGTGGAAGCCAATGATGTTCAAATAATAATGAGATGTTTAAACAGCAGAGTTTATACAGTAGATTGGGCTTGGTTGATTAGTGCATTACATTGTTACATCCAGTATATATACACTTCCCCCCTCTTCATGTCCCATTATGCTTGACAACGGTACAAGAATCTGTATCGAAACGTCGCACTCACGAATAAAAAGAAGTTGTTATCCATAACGTTTGTTCTATATTGTACTTCCCAACTTCTAAAATGCCACTCAAAGAAGTATTCCCAAGTTTACGATTCGAAATCTCCGACTTGCCAATCAGAGGCCAGTGAATCTTGTAGAGGTTACTCATTCCCCTGATTCAATATGAAAACTGAATTGATCCTTTTGTCTACATTGTAGATGGACACCATTCCTGCACAGGCAGCGTATGCTCAGTACTCCGTGATGAAACCACAAGTAAGTCCTTTTGTAACACGTTAAAACACTTTCAATAACTAACGTTAGATTAGGTGAAAGAATTTGCTTCTGAGAACTGAAGTAAAACAATTAATCACTTGTCGGATGAAACATATCTTTCATTGCAAGTCTCCCTTTACTGCCAATGTTTTAACTATTAATAAAATGTTTTAATATTTGTCCATGGTTAGCTTTTCTGCTTATCATATCTTAGTAATGAAACATTGTACGTGCATGACATTAAGTGAATGAGTGTATCTACTTTACAGATGGCTGCTGGCCCAGTATCTGACAACACACCATCCAACTGTGCAGGATCACCAAGGGTGAGGCTTGAATGAATTGAACTCAATACATTTTCCAATCTGTTTTATATCCTGATTTTTAATTAACATCAACATATTGCATCTTATAAAGTTTAAAAACAATTCATTTATGTCATTAAGAACTGTTATAGAATCATTATTAGATATATACAATCCTAATTATATTCTTTATCACAATAGTCTATTTATGACAGACCATTAGAAGTATTAGACTGAACATTAGATATTTGGACTACCTGTTGGGGCACTGCATCTATAAACAACCTGTATCTTGTTTTCAGGTGCCAGTGAGCTACCTGGCCAAGCCAAAGTTACAACTTGTACAGTGGCGATATGGACCCTAGATGGAAGCATTAGTGAAAGGGGGGAGTAGAGGGGTGGGAGGGGTCAGGGGAGGGTAGTGTATGCTCTTGTATCACATATCAGAGTGTGTGTGCGTGTGTGCGTGCGTGCGTGCGTGGCACACACTTGAGAGACGATGGTTGCAACTGGCAGAGTCATGGCAATATATATAATGATGCATTGTTATGTTAGCATGTTGGTACTTCCAAGAGAATGGATAAGTGGACTAACTTTAAATTCTCGGAGATATGTGGGGTAATTGTAAATACCTGGACGGATTTTACACAGCTATAGAAAGCCAGCAGAGAAAGAATCCCCGTCATCAGTCGATGATCAGTTCACTTGACAACTGCCAGGTCTCTCTAATGTTTAGGGTAGGAGCTGGGAGTAGTGTGTGACATGGAGGTCCACCATTAACCATGACATTGGTCAGAATGTACACTGTTGATGTTTGCAAGGGATTCAAATCAACGGAAAACAAACATTAGAGGTCAATATAGATGATTGGCAGCTTTGAAATGGTGCTAAACTGGAGAATATAGAGAAATATATACTGAATTTTGATAAGCTGCTTAAATGTTTTAAGATGTATTCACCAAAGGGTGACACGTGTCTTTATGAATGAACATTTGCTGCCATCACTGAGAGTGTTATTTTACTCCAAACTGTTTGTACTGAATATACATCTATTTACTGTTACTTGTGATATTGTAAACACGTACTGTGTCATACTGACATACCTTCTTTTGTTATCAAATCTTAATGTTGTTGATATTTATGCATATCTATGCTGTATTGTTACTATACTTTGTGAATGTACTTATATAGAATAAAGAAGTTTTATCATATTTTTGTTTTGTTTTTATATTTTTAATACTGAGGGTTGTTTATGGATCTAATATGACATACTAAGATAGAGACCTGAAATAGAATGATGTACCAGTTACGTATTGAGTGCCATAAGCATACACTGGTCAGTTGAGACATGAATCAACACAATCCATGATTTTCAAACCCGGGTCACGGTGCACTCATAACTGTTTCTTACGCGCCTATTTATATAGCGCTAAACCCCACGCCAGATATGTTTATAGCCGAAGCTGCCTGTTAGGCACTAGAACGTTATAGTCACATGACTTATCCCACCGGGTACCCATTTTCTGCTGGGTGAACAGAGGCAATTTTGCCTAAGGTGAGACCTACATGTATCATAATGTGCTTCGTTGTGGGGCAGCACCGAAGTCCTAGAACCTCTCAGGAGTCAAGCTGCCAAACACGGTCACCCATCCACGGACTCTCCGCGCCCAGCGTTCTTGAAAACTTCACCTGATTGAGAACTGAGCTCTTTGCACAGGACCACATACCACCACAAACCTATGTGTGAAAACTAGTATCGAACCTACAGTAGTTGGCCATAAGTGAGTCATCATTTGTGAGTGAGTGAGTTTAGTTTTACGCCGCTTTTAGCAATATTCCAGCAATATCACGGCGGGGGACACCAGAAATGAGCTTCACACATTGTACCCATGTGGGGAATCGAACCCGGGTCTTCGGCGTGACGAGCGAACGCTTTAACCATCAGGCTTCCCCACCGCCCCCCTTCATTTGTGAAATTCCTATAGACTTGCATGTTAATTAACTCTTGCAAGACTAATTTTCATAAATTTAGTTTCGGTCGAATTGCTTTCAATACGTATGTACCAGCAGGGAAATCATCTCAGCTACATACACATAATTTCCATTAATTTTTCCGATCATTATTAAGAAAACTGCAACTATTTAAACAACGTATATTATGATGGCTGTCTATGGGATAGATTAAAAGTTGTACTTATATATAGTGCTTAATCAGGTGTCATTCGATAGTAATCAACGGAAAGATGAAAGAAAATTATGTACACGTAGCTGAAGATGATTTCCAAGATTTTCGCACAATATCAAAATACAGTGACTTCTACTCAAGTTGTGAAAATTATTCTTGCAACAGTTAATCAACATGTATAAGTCTATTAAAGTTTCACTAATGATTACTCACTTATGGCCAACTACTGTATGTGTGAGATCGATTTCCACGTCCGTGATTGGCTACTCCATGGTGATGACCTAGGGTCAGATTATGATGGACCATTTTCCCGATTGATACGTTACTCAGCTTCAAACGAACGCAAACCACACTTACAAAACAACACGAATCTAGTTTTTCTAACCCCCTTTGCCGTTTTCACATTTAGATTCTAGTGATGAGTTCAGAAGTGATACACAGTGCTACTTGTGAATACCGCCGTTAGAGTGAGCTAAGGAGGTTGGAAGGGGAGGGCTTTGAACATTCAAAATGGACAAATTGTTACTTTTACTGGAGAAATGAGACAAGTAACATGCATCGTTTTGAAAAACAATACCTGACATAATACGGTCTGAGTCTGTACACTGTACATTTGTCTCGTGGTTTCATTGATGAACTCATGAAGGGGACATTTTTCACTGATATTGATAAACATGATGATTCTGTAGATAAAGAACCAGTCCCAGCCCCCAAGCTACTATCTGACTATTCCTATATCAACAAATTCACTCATGACTAGAAAAAAAGTTTTTGTGATTTAGATGACGTAACAATCGCCAAATAGCAGATGGTTGGTTGCCAAGTGCCACGGTTGTGAGGGACTGGTCATATATTATTTTGGGTGGATTGGGGGTGTGGTGGTTAAAGGTAGATCGGGTCTTTGAAATGGCTATTATATTGGCTGTTCCCCTTTCCCCACCATTAACAAATCCCCTCAATGCCACTGTCGGTTACATTCGACTGAGTGTATCACTAGAAGTGCCCTGGCGTAGAACCCAATCGTTCGTGTGTTTGTTGTTTAACGCCAGAGTCAGTCATTTTCCAGCTACATGACGGCGGCCTGTAAATAATCGAGTCTGGACCAGACAATCCAGTGATCAACAGCATGAGCATCGATCTACGCAATTTGGATACGATGATATGTCTTAACCAGAGAGCCTGACCATCCGAAGCCGCTAGTCGCCTTTTAGAACAAACATGGGTTGTTGCTGAAGGAGAATTCTAATCCGGATCTTCAGGGATCCGAACCCAAACAACAGGCGAACAATTTACCAAGTACGATTTACGCATCATTGACTTATGTATGGTGTACACACATGTTCATCTTTCTAAATATCAAACCTTTAAATGGTTTATGTACCGCGGGAGGAAACTCCCTCGAGTTAAAAGGGTATTGGTAAAAGTTCTCGGCACACAGCCACCCGTAACAGTCGTTGTTGACATCAGGCACCTCATGTCGAGTGGGAGGCAGTCTCTTATTTCCCCCCGTATCAAGTAATCGTTTAATCAGTTAATTCTATATAGATTACTGACTGAGCTAGACATGTCACCTTGGACTGATACCAACTGAGTGCCTACTAGCTCTCCCTCTTCAGAAAAATCAGACACAAAATGTCCTTGACCCTAGCATTATGGGAATTCAAATTTCCGGAACACAAACTCATTACATATCATTGTGGCTTTGTTTAAGTCTCCCACTCACTCAAACAGTCAGTGACCTTCACTCACAAATCAATTTACTTATTCGCTCTCAAACTCATGAAACTAGCCAATCAGTGTTGGTTCCACCACATTTTGTATGCCATGACATCACTGGTGGAAATAAAATATGAAACAGTTAGAATCATACACGTTTTATAAGGAAAATTCTTTTTAAAATCACCCTAAGTAAGTTAAACGTTTCGAACGAGGGCGCCAAGGAAACTTAGTGCCAGAGTTGCGCCCCTTGGAAGAGTAGTAGCTATGACATCATCGGCATTGTTACGTTCGTGCTCTGTGACGTAACACGTCTATTGGCAAGGAAGCATTTTCACCTCTTGACAGGATAACATATTCAACATTTAGCCGTAGTAATGGCAGGTAAGCGTTGACCATCAAGGGAACACCTTTAACTCGCAGTTTGTTGTATTTACTATTTACTAGATGTTATTCTTTGTCAATGAATTCATTAATTTGATTAATATGGCACGTTTACTGTTTACTAACAGAAATGTCATTTTTTTCTACAAACTTGTGGGTTGCTACAACGAATCCAAAAGTGTTAGCTTTATTACACATCAATTGCGCTGTCTTAAATGAACTATCAAAGCCTTATCTGATAAGTATACATACTTCATCAAGATTTTGTATAAAGTTTAGTCACTGAAGAATTTGGTAATGTAGGCAACGTGTCTTCTCTCTGCAGAATTTGACGCCAGACAATATTTCTTGCAAACCCGTATAAACAGCACTGAAGCTTCACTCTTTCACCAGGTGAGACTGGACCCTTCATCTACCCATTTTATAATTATTTCCCATTTGTGTGAATTCCTCTCATTATTATTTATGAATTATATACATAATTTGCAAATCAATAAAAAAAAATCACACAGCTATACGTGATGTTATTTTTAAGATCTGTGGATCCGATATAAAACTGGAACTGCATGCTATGACAGAAGATATATTATGAACTAATTTCAATATTTTCTGGTCACAGGGTTATCTATTGAGGCAGCTGTACCACTTCTACGACAAAGATGGTGATGCCCTCATGTGGAACCAGGATTCATTGACTGGGGTATGTGATTTCATGGAACTATAGACAAACAGGTTATTTTTATACACGTGCATTATTGCGATTTGTGATCCCCTTTCTGGTGCACCTCGCCGGATATTGCTAAAAGGATGCTAACTAGCGCTAACAAGCGCTGTAAAACCCGCTATCGCGATTAATAGTGAGAACCGAATAACAGTTAGAAACCGTCACTAGGAAAGCTTTTCAGCCGTACGTGAACATTGTCCACAGACAGTACGTACAAGAAGTGTAATAAAGATTATATCTATGTATTTTCAGGAGTTGCCAATGGACACAGCAGAGACTCCAGATGATTCACAGGTAAATATATAGCGGAAGTTAACTGGCAGAACATGTGCTTCTGCTGTCAATATTAGTGAATCAGTGATTGGGACCATTCGTTTTTGAGCATGCCTAAACATAATTTTAGAGTTTGGCTATTGGATTATACTCCCAAGTGACCTGTCATCAGATGATTGATATAGATCGGGTGGTCAGATTCGGGGATCGAGTGTCATCTCACCTAGCTGGCCCGGGGTGTTGTTGCTGATAATATCAACCACTGGTTTGTCTTGACTGAAACTCGATTATCTACAGCCTGATTATATACTGCTTACCTAACCCAGTCGTTAACTTATGATATAGTAAACCACGCCCCGTTACTCATGGTGCGGAACATAGAACGTTGTATCTGTCCCGAGGCTGGGTGGATACAGCTGAAGGAGTGTCTGTGTCTGTATCTGAGTCTGTTTCCTTCTCTGTGTCTGCGTCTGTTTCCTTGTCTGTGTCTGCGTCTGTGTCTGTGTCTGTTTCCTTGTCTGTATCTGTTCCTCTTCCCTCTGCAGATGGACTCTCTTCCTGCTCAAGGTGGATACATGCAGTATTCCGTCTTCCACTCTCAGGTATAGAGGTTTAGTTTTACCATTCTCAACTCATTGTCACACTTAGGTAATGAGAGTTCCAGTTCTACTCATTGTCACACTTAGAGTTGGGGATCCATCAACATATTTTGGGCCATTTGGGACAGAATATGGGATCAGTTTTCTCCAACTTGTTTGGTGCCAGTGGGCATGTATCGTTTTAATGTCCAGTTTTGGCCCTTTTAACCTGTTCCCGTTTTAATATATAACCCCAAGTTTACGATCTGAAATCTCTGACTTGCCAGTAAGAAACCAGTATATGCCTTTCAGTATGTTCAGATACAATCAACGAAACATGTTAAAACTCATCCTTATCAGATGAGAAACATATATTCAGGTGATATGATTTAACTAGAATGAAATCTAAGGGGGGATACGGGCGGAAGTCTTTCCTAAATCTTAAATTGCGCCTCTTGTAGAGGTTCCATATCCTCCTGATTCAATATGAAAACTATCTTGCTTTTGAATAGTCCAGGTGATCCTTTTGTCTACATTGTAGATGGACACCATTCCTGCACAGGCAGCGTATGCTCAGTACTCCGTGATGAAACAACAAGTAAGTCCTTTTGTAACACGTTAAAACACTTTCAATAACTAACATTAGATTAGGTGAAAGAATTTGCTTCTAAGAACTGAAGTAAAACAATTAATCACTGGATGAAACCAGATACCATATTATATAAATCGTCTGTGATGAAACATATCTTTCATTGCGAGTAATAGAGGCTGTACAAGTTGTCTCCCTTTACTGGAAATGTTTGTAGCTACATATTTGTCCATGGGTTAGCTTTCTTGCTTATCATATCTCAGTAATGAAACATTGTACGTGCATGACATTAAGTGAATGAGTGTATCTACTTTACAGATGGCTGCTGGCCCAATATCTGACAACTCACCATCCATCTGTGCAGGATCAATCCAAGGGTGAGGCATCCATCTTTTGCAATCCTGATTTTAATGAACATCAACAAAATGTATCTTAGGTTTAAAACAACTCATTTATGTGAACAGTTATAGATTCATTATTAAATATATACAATCTAATTATATTCTATATCACAATATTCTACCATTTGGATCATCAGGGTGAGGCTTGAATGAACTGAATTAATTTGCCATCAGTTATAAATCCTCATTTGATTTTACATACACCATGTTATATTTTGATAGTTCAAGAAAGTTAACGACATTGTTCTCATTGAGAGATATTGTAGAAAATTCAATATTTTGACTTCCAAATGGGAGACTGACAGACCATGTAATCATTAAGAAATATTAGACTGAACATTAAATATTTGGACTACCTGTTGGGACACTGCATCTATAGAGAACCTGTCTCTTGTTTTCAGGTGCCTGTGAGCTACCTGGCCAAGCCAAAGTTACAACACATACAGTGGCGATATGGATCCTAGATGGAAGCATTAGTGAATGGCAGTAGAAGGGTGGGGGTAGGGTATATGTTGGGGGCTAGTAGGGAAGGTCAACTGAGATCAGGCACCTTGGGTCAGGGTTCTAAGATAGACTGCTCACCACATAACTGTTTGAACTCTAAGGCAGCACAGATTAAATTAAGTATTATTCTAGGAGAATCATGATTTTATTCAAATTCTTTGGGAATTGGTATGTGGATTCATTATGTTTCTTGGAGAACTGACATATTGGTTAGTTATGATTCTGGGAGAAAAACAGGCAGCAGTGAAACACGCCAAGATATAAGTGATAATCAGCTGACTTCATAACAGTCAGAATATGACAACAGTAAGTTGTCTGTAGGTTTGGGGTTGGTGGTTGGGGATATGAGATGAGATGGGGGTGAAGAGGTGACTGGGGTTGTGTGTGTGTGCGTGCATGTGTGTGTGTGTGCTTGTGTATCTAGGTTAAAGATGACACGGGTCAAAATCAGCATTATGAATGTTTACAAGAGGGTTAGATCATCAGAAAAATAGACATGTAATATATAAAAAGTCAATATACATGAAGATGATTGACAACCTCTAATCAATGTCATTCTAATGATGTATATTTCTAGACATTATACAATTAAATTGATTGAATCTGTGATGATTGTAAATAAATCTAATGGTGCTTAATCAGATAACCCAATGAAGAAAAATACATTTGTACTTTTGACTCTTCATAAACTCCTAAATAGCTAAAAATATGTTAAACAAGTGGTGAAACATGTTTTCATGACTGAACACTTGCCTGCAATTTGCAGAATGGAGATTGTTATTTTACTATAAACTATTTTTCTTAAATATACATGAGTTTACTGTTACTTGTGATAGTGTATATGTACTGTGTCATATTCATATGTTTACTTTTGATATGAATATTGAATATTTTAAATTGTGTTGATGCTGTATTTTTACTGTATGTTGTAATGTAAATGTATATGTATATGTAGGAGGTGAAAATAAAAGTTTTTAATTTAAAAGTTGAATATTTTTGTCCTGTAGTATTTTTTAATGGCTTAATGTCAAGTTTTTGTGTCTGTAATATCTGATAATGGGAAAGTACCTTGAAGTGCACAAAAGCACAAGGAGCATATTCAGTGTCATAAGCTTGTTCAAGCACAAGCAGAAGCTCTGAAGGACCCTACATTACATTTCATATTTTAGGGTTGGGTGGGGGTGTGGGTTGGGGTTGCATGTGCATGTGCTCGTGCATGCATGCATGCATGCCTCTGTGTGTATGGGGGGTGGGGAGTGTTAAGGATTCTTTGATTGGGTCTTGATAGGGCTGTTATATTTGGTAGGATGGGGATATAACCATCAGCAGGTCAGTTAATTTTTCTGTCCTCCATCTCTTTTCCTGACCACAATCTTTATGCTTTAGTAGTAAAACTTGCTATAAAGATCAATATACTGGTGAACTGGAGCCTTTGGATATTTTAGGATATTTAAAGATACTAAAATTATTTTTTTTCACTCAACTGCTGTAGGTATCCAAATGCAATGAGTAAGAAATGGGTATAAGAAGAGAAACTCCATTTCTGGTGTGTGTGTGTGTGTGTGTGTGTGTGTGTGTGCATGAGTGTGATATCTCCTGATGACATGACCATCTCACAAATTTGAAGAGTCTGGTAGAATTGGCCTTCAGTGCGTGCGTGCATGGGTGTGATATCTCCTGATGACATGACCATCTCACAAATTTGAAGAGCCGGGTAGAATTGGCCTTCAGTGTGTGCGTGCATGAGTGTGATATCTCCTGATGACATGACCATCTCACAAATTTGAAGAGTCTGGTAGAATTGGCCTTCAGTGTGCGTGCGTGCATGGGTGTGATATCTCCTGATGACATGACCATCTCACAAATTTGAAGAGACGGGTAGAATTGGCCTTCAGTGTGTGCGTGCATGGGTGTGATATCTCCTGATGACATGACCATCTCACAAATTTGAAGAGCCGGGTAGAATTGGCCTTCAGTGTGTGCGTGCATGGGTGTGATATCTCCTGATGACATGACCATCTCACAAATTTGAAGAGCCGGGTAGAATTGGCCTTCAGTGTGTGCATGCGTGCGTGTTATATGTCCTGATGACATGTCCATCTCACAAATTTGAAGAGTCGGGTAGAATTGGCCTTCAGTGTGTGCATGCATGAGTGTGATATCTCCTGATGACATGACCATCTAACAAATTTGAAGAGCCGGGTAGAATTGGCCTTCAGTGTGTGCATGCGTGCGTGTTGTATGTCCTGATGACATGTCCATCTCACAAATTTGAAGAGTCGGGTAGAATTGGCCTTCAGTGTGTGCATGCATGAGTGTGATATCTCCTGATGACATGACCATCTAACAAATTTGAAGAGCCGGGTAGAATTGGCCTTCAGTGTGTGCATGCGTACGTGTGTTATATGTCCTGATGACATGTCCATCTCACAAATTTGAAGAGTCGGGTAGAATTGGCCTTCAGTGTGTGCATGCATGAGTGTGATATCTCCTGATGACATGACCATCTCACAAATTTGAAGAGCCGGGTAGAATTGGCCTTCAGTGTGTGCGCGTGCATGGGTGTGATATCTCCTGATGACATGACCATCTCACAAATTTGAAGAGCCGGGTAGAAGTGGCCTTCAGTGCGTGCGTGCATGGGTGTGATATCTCCTGATGACATGACCATCTCACAAATTTGAAGAGCCGGGTAGAATTGGCCTTCAGTGTGTGCATGCGTGCGTGCGTGTTATATGTCCTGATGACATGACCATCTCACAAATTTGAAGAGCCAGGTAGAATTGGCCTTCAGTGTGTGTGTGCATGGGTGTGATATCTCCTGATGACATGACCATCTCACAAATTTGAAGAGCCGGGTAGAATTGGCCTTCAGTGTGCATGCGCGTCGCGTCGTGTTATATGTCCTGATGACATGTCCATCTCACAAATTATCTCCTGATGACATGACCATCTCACAAATTTGAAGAGCCGGGTAGAATTGGCCTTCAGTGTGTGCATGCGTGCGTGCGTGTTATATGTCCTGATGACATGACCATCTCACAAATTTGAAGAGCCAGGTAGAATTGGCCTTCAGTGCGTGCATGCGTGCATGGGTGTGATATCTCCTGATGACATGACCATCTCACAAATTTGAAGAGCCGGGTAGAATTGGTCTTCAGTGTGTGCATGCGTGTGATATCTCCTGATGACATGACCATCTCACAAATTTGAAGAGCCGGGTAGAATTGGCCTTCAGTGCGTGCGTGCATGCATGGGTGTGATATCTCCTGATGACATGACCATCTCACAAATTTGAAGAGCCGGGTAGAATTGGCCTTCAGCAACCCAGCTTGTCATAAGAGGCAACTTATGAGATTGGGTGGTCAGGCTCGCTGACTTGGTTGACACAAGTCATCGTATCCCAACTACACAGATCAATGCTGTCATGTAGCTGGAATCAGAGACCATATATCTATTATATGGTCTCTGCTGGAATATTGCTGAGTGAGGCGTTAAACAAGAAACAAAAAATAGCATATTTTTCTTTCATCAATAAGATAATGTTGAAAGTCTCTTCCCAAGGCTTGGGTTTTACAAAAATGTTCTTAAAATTCTGTTGGTATTCACCGAGGTGAATATTTAAGGATTCAAATCCCATCCATGTCAAGCCATGTTTTCCAACAACTGTTGCACACTCTCAGTGTAAAGACATTCACAACATAATTGTTGCACACTCTCCGAGTGAAGACATTCACAACATAATTGTTGCACACTCACCGAATGAAGACATTCACAATGTAATTGTTGCACACTCTCAGAGTGAACACATTCACAACATAATTGTTGCACACTCTCCGAGTGAAGACATTCACAACGTAATTGTTGCACACTCTCAGAGTGAAGACATTCACAACGTAATTGTTGCACACTCTCAGAGTGAAGACATTCACAACGTAATTGTTGCACACTCTCCGAGTGAAGACATTCACAACGTAATTGTTGCACACTCTCCGAGTGAAGACATTCACAACGTAATTGTTGCACACTCTCAGAGTGAAGACATTCACAACGTAATTGTTGCACACTCTCCAAGTGAAGACATTCACAACATAATTGTTGCACACTCACCGAGTGAAGACATTCACAACGTAATTGTTGCACACTCTCAGAGTAAAGACATTTGCAACGTAATTGTTGCACACTCTCCGAGTGAAGACATTCACAACATAATTGTTGCACACTCTCAGCATTCACAACATAATTGTTGCACACTCTCAGAATGAAGACATTCACAACATAATTGTTGCACACACTCCAAGTGAAGACATTCACAACATAATTGTTGCACACTCAGAATGAAGACATTCACAACATAATTGTTGCACACACTCCAAGTGAAGACTTTCTCAACATAATTGTTGCACACTCTCCGAGTGAAGACATTCACAACATAATTGTTGCACACTCTCCGAGTGAAGACATTCATAACAGAAGTACATACTGTTTATTGCAAAGCTGTATCCAGCAAGTGGTCATGACAAGTGAACTGTATACATGGAGACTGTGATGGACAGTCACACAACACTATCTGCTAATACACTACTGCAGTATCACCATGTTTGACAATACATGAGTAATAAAATTCTGTGACCAATGCTTTAAACTAACCTAAGGGGCATCCTCTACCATTCAGGGTAATATAACTCTATCCTTATAAATACCCTGGAACCATTCACTACCATTGTGTCACTAACCCAAAACAAATAGCTTGATCTGGAAATACCAATCCAAACAGATTACACTCATTACTGAGATAAATTCTGTGTTAAGTTAGAGCTTGGAGTGATTCACTTCACTTCTGAATCGGATCTATGGTGGTGAGTTGGTTCAGACTATTTATTAATATAAAACAGAGATACAATATGCTGGATAATCAAGGATGTCTATGGAATTTCGACAATAGAGAAACACAATGAACTAAAAACAAATTGTGGTAACCTAGTATGCTCTTTAAAGTTCAATACATTAAATAACCAAGGTCTAAATCAACACAGCTAATGATCCACAGACAGTGATGAAGTGGGTAATAACTACCCATTGTTTTCAGTCTGCTTGTGATCCTGCGTAGACTATAAAATTTGCTATGTTTATATCATTCCTGGACATATTATCAATCATAGTTTAGCACTTCGACATACAAAATGTGACATTCAGCACTGGTGCTTTACAAAGTGTTTATTATTTTCACCTCTATATTGTCATGATTAGACCAGTGATATTGCAAAAAATGGACACCTTTTAAAAGCTTCCTGATCATAACTTGGACAGAGTGGTGTTATTTGATGGTCTCCCTGCACCTGACATGAACCTAATTTGATATATTTTGTCATTGTCGTCCAAGTTAATGAGATCTCCCTTCTGGCAGCTTTTAGACAGATGGTGATCTGCTGGACAGCTACCAGATATAACACTGTTATACCCCACCATAGATGACATATATCACACTGGTGTATCACCAACTTGGCTTATATTCCCCATAAAACAGATATGTCATAACACATGTTAATTCCCCATGTATGTCATCTGTGTATTTTATTTTTAACTTGCTGTTAGTAATTAGTAAATATTACACTAATTTACTAATGAGTAAGTTTATAGGTTTTATGCCACTTTCAACAATATTTCAGCAATATCATGGCGGGGGACACCAGAAATGGGCTTCACACATTCAACCCAGGTCTCCAGCATGATGAGCGAACGCTTTAACCACTAGGCTACCGCCCCTACTAGTTTACTAACAAACAGATATTTGTTACTGGAAAATGCATATTTAGCATGTGTTTTACTGAAGATAATGAACAATATTAATGTTATAATGCCCTGCCATAAATCAACTTTAATGAAAACATTCCAAGCATACATAGATTCCAAGTGGGAATATATTCACCCTTAATGACGAGACTTTGCCATAGCAGAAATGAGAATAATCCCATGTTGATTCCATGAGATGGTAGATTTGGGAGACTAAATAGATCACACTGTCATCATTTTGTTGATTGCCTGTCGACATATCCCAATTGCGAAGATACATACTAATGATGTATGATGTGAATCACTGGATTGTCTGGTCCAGATGTGATTATTTACAGACCACCATTGTGTAGCTGACATATTGCTGAGTGGGGCATTTAGCAGCAAACAAAATAAAATTTATCACCAGAAATAGTTTCATAGAGGAATAGCATGTTATAGAATAATACATTTTTGAGCATCTTAGTTCTAAGAAACAACCTTTTAAGGAACACTTTATAACTTGCCCTCACATCATTGTCCACCTCTGCTGTTAGTATCCATGTGCTATGACTGTACATAAGATTATTGCTATATTGCACCTTCCACACAATCTCAGCTTGAACAAACAAAACAGTCAATCAAAGTAAAATACACATCTAAAGGAATGGTCCAACAAATCCTCTAAGGAATTCCTTGTCAGCAGTTTGGCATGGGGTACATCATAACAGAAATCACTAAACAATAACATGGAGTAAACCCCTAAAATCTGTGGTGGATCTGAGCATCAGCACTGGTAACACACAACTGAGTGCTGATAACAACATCATATACATTGAGCATCCGATAATCTATACAACTAATGTTATATCTACCCCATGAGGTAAATGATTTCCTGATGAAGGAGTAAGAATATATGTTGTGTTACCAATGTTAACGTGGTCACATTTTCCCCTTTTGTTGTGTACCAAAACCTAATGCCATTCAAAGATTTTAAACATTTATCACCCTAGCTACAGATATTATTATACAAGTTACATGTTGATCTTAAATAAATACGAAAAGAGCTTGCACATCCCTTAAGTCATGCTCTGGTATCACATATGGCAGTGGGATAGCCCAGTGGTTAATGTGTTCGCTCATCACGCTGATGACCTGGGTTCGATTCCCCAATATGGGCACTTTGTGTGAAACCCATTTCTGGTGTCCCCTGCTGTGATATTGCTGGAATATTGCTAAAAGGGGCGTAAAACAATACTCACTCACTAACTCTGGTTCCCGTATCAAATATGTACTTTTTGTGATTTTAGATACACTTGCTTCAGTTGTAAGTAAAACAGTGAAAAGGTCCACTGTTACTCATTGATACAAAGAGTGTGTGAGTGAGTATGGTATTACACCGCTTTTAGCAATATTCCAGCAATATCACGGCGCGTGACACCAGGACTGGGCTTCACACATTGTACCCATCGTGTGGGAAGTCGAACCCGGGTTTTCAGTGTGACGAGTGAATGCTTTAACCACTTGACTACCCCACCACCCTTCAGTTGTAAGTAAACCAATACGTAAAAAGCTCCTCTGTTATTCATTGATTCAAAGATCTTCCACATTATAAAGTAACATGTTCAGACAAATATCAATTTGATCGTCTCTCATCTTCTAGAAGAAGGTGTGTTGTAATGAATACATGATTCATCTACAGCCTTTATACAACTGACTAGGTATTGTGAGGCAACATGTCAGGGTACACGTTATACAAAAGTCTTTAATAAAACATAACAAAACCCACATTTTAGTTGAAATATTGATCAGAACAAACAAGGAACTGAAGCTTTTCAGTTGTCATGTCAGAATATGTGCTACAGATCACCAATATATTTCACAGACATATACATGAACCATACTTAAGTCTACAATGACAGTGGAAGTGAAAATAGCTGGACATATTCCTTGCATCATGTTCATGTGTAGAGGGATCTGTTCCACAACTATCATAAAAACGTTTAGTAAAATGGAGACTGATACTATGTGAATGTCTGGTGGGTTTGTCATTAAGTCAGATATGTCTAGACAGACCCCTGACTAATCCAGATTTCTGTCAATACTGGACCACATTTAAGGACCAAACTATACTTGACAAAATAACATTTTTACAAATTTGTTAAATTTAATAGTTCTTACTATAATGCCACTACTATTGATCTCCGTATTCGATGGATTTCAATTTCAGCCTCAAATACTCAAGACTACCTCTGACTAATCCACACTTCTGTCAATACCGGACCACATTTATGGGCCAAAATATGGAATATAGAACTTGACAAAATAAGAATACATTTTAATTTTTTTTAGTTAGATTCATTTCTTTATCTCTTAGTATAATGCCACTACTTTGATCTCTGTATTAGATGGATTTGAATTTCAGTCTCAAAGAAGCCCTGCCTTGATGGATTTAACTATAGTTGATATTCCAGAATCTCAAACAGACCTAAAAACTCATTATCTAATAACTTCAGTGAAAGCTCTTATTTTGAATGTTCTTCTTCCCAGTATCATTTGTTCAGAAGTTGTCTTAAAAAGACCAAGACCATATTTATGATCCAAACTTCAAACTTTACATGCAACATGTCTCAGATAATGCCCCTTTACCCACTTCATGGTCTTGGTAGAATATCCAATCACCAACAGTTAACAAGGCAGAGAACTAAAGCAACATAACCATAATCCCTTGGGCACATACATATAGAGAAAGGCACTAAAACACTGGTGTAGAACAGTAAACCACAATGGATAGGGCTAAACATGGACATTTTCAATATACTGGTAATCTCATTTTCTATGACAATAGTTGTTTCTTTGTGAAAACCTACAGACACCTCCACAGAAGGTCATGGGAGGTGAAATCTGGGAGAACTATGATAACCTAATCTAATGAAGAGCCTCAGGTCTTTAAGTCAATCAGAAAACATCTTTTTAAAATGCTCCTGCATTTTTTTTCAAACTAAATTCAGGAAATTTTGAAATATTACAAAGAAAAGCCCACACAGAACACAATTTTTCCTTTGATGGCACTATCTTTTGTATGTAACCATCAGAAGGGCTTGGTGTCTAAATACATACACAACAACATAATAGTGCTGCCTTTATCATTTACATCTGGAACAGGCTGATTAACTTCATTTCAAAGATACAGACATCAAACATGCTTGTCTCAATGTTTGACCCTTGTCCCAAGAAAAGTCTTGATGTTGATTGGCTGATTACAAAGTTTACATGATATGACCAATTATGATGGCGCTGTCGGATCTTCACACAGAAAGATAATACATCAGAGTAAAAGCTCTGATTTCAAAGAGATAGGTAATAGATTATTCCACTGTGGTCAAAACAAAACAAGGACATTTCCAGTTTGATACGAAAATGGACATTAAAAGTACTTATTACATATGTTCAAAACATACGTTGAACAGGTTACTAAACAATGGAATATATACATGGTGTCCTATGAAATAACATAGGAGTTGCAGTTTACCATGGAACAAAACAAGATAACACAGTGTTTAAGAGAAACAATTATCATCCCCAGACTTGTACTAAGGCACTGTAATATTACCTCATTGGCATCCCTTAGCTGTGGCAGGATCTTGGGTTTAAAGCCTTACGCCATCTTTTTTAAAATTTTTTTATCACTTTATTTCTTTATAATGGGTACCTAATTTATGCATTTGTGGTACATGTAAATATTATAAAACAAGGACATGGGTGGTAGATAATCCGTAGGCTAAAAGAATACATTTGTTGTTACAATTTATGTGAAGAGGTTATGGCAAGATGACCAAAAGGTGAAGAATTTACCATGGTTGTAGTGCGAAAAGGCAGCACATTTGTCAATTGCACCATCTTGGTTACCGGTATGTTTCTGGTGGGCTGTGCCAGCATCTGATAATTTTGGGTTTGAGTTTTAGGTTCACCCCAACTGTGTTTCTAGGTTGTTATGTCCCCTAGTTGAGCCAGGATGTGATGGTCACGGGTTTGAATCCATGATTCACTGTCAGCACCACCATACTCACACTTACTGATGTCACAAAAACTGTCAACATCTTTGATTAGCAAGACACTGGGGTTTCCCTCACTAAGCTAGCATGTTGTAATATGTAACATGTACAAAGCAGCATAAAACCATGTACTCAGCGATAAAGAAAAATGCAAGTTTAGTGAGGGAGTGAGTTTAGGTTTATGCCGCACTCAGCAATATTCCAGCTATATGGCGGCAGTCTGTAAATAATCGAGTCTGGACCGGACAATCCAGTGATCAGCAGCATGAGCATCGATCTGCGCAATTGGGAACTGATGACATGTGTCAACCAAGTCAGCGAGCCTGACCACCCGATTCTGTTAGTTGCCTCTTACGACAAGCATGGGTTACTGAAGATCAATTCTAACCCGGATCTTCACGGGTACGCAAGTTTAGTGGGGGTGGGGGTGGGTGGGGGAGCTTGGATTCAATATTCAATATTTTTATAGGTGCTTACACAACATTTTATGTTGCCACTCAACCAGAAGGCAACAACTGTATTTCTTGAATAGATTTCTTACTTTTATTAACCTCAACTAAAGCTGGACATGTTCCATTTTTATGGCAATGTGGGATACTGTTTGTATGACGCAATCTCCAACCAACCAATCACACAAATTCATGTCCCACAATCAGGATATCCCTTCCATCTGTAGCAGTGTGTTGTTCTACTGGACAGTCTTGATACAATGAGGCTTAAAGTCCCTTCACCTTGCCTCAGTGTATAAATAACACTTATTTCCCAGCATACACACAGACAATGGGTCCAGTAAAGGTTTAGCCTCAACAACCAATGGTATTACTTGAATATAAACTAATAGTTGCATTTCATTATATAAACACTGACAGTGGAGCATATGCACCGACATGTAATATCATAAAACCAACTCTTCACTTATCATTTTCAATTTAGACTTTTACATTAAAACACTAGACATGATTAACCTTTGATTGGCTGTAGCTGGCTGTATAAGTTTTCATAATGTGCAGCTATTATATATATGGATTATTCATCAAATAGATAGATCATCAGGAAAAATATGTATGAAATATCAACAATTCAAAATATATATTTGTTCTCCAAATTTAAAGATTGTGACCAGAGTCAGAGTAACAAAAGTGTGACCATGAGATACCTCACAAGAACATCAATGTATGTTACCATGGCATTCGACAGACCTAAGTCTGTACTACTTTAGATGATGGAGGACAGTTCCTCAAGATGATGAAGGTGATGTGACAACAGCAGGGGCTGCTGTTGTTGTTGATCCACCCCCGCTTTTGAAGGCGCCAGTGGATGCCAACACTGCCACCACGATGATGATGATGATGACAATGACGACTGCGATGAGGATTAGTGTCATCTTGGTGTTCTTCCACCAGTACTTCTTCTGAATCCGACGGGCCGTCTTCTGGAACGAGGCCGACTGGAAGAACCCAGGCATTAAGAATGACTTTATGCCACATTGTAAACCAAAAGTCACTGTGTTCTTTAATCTGATTGGTTGAAAAACGTGATCAAATGGTATTTGATTCCCGGAAATTCTCTGCGTATTAATACATACAAACATCGCTCACACCATTGTATTGTAACGTCGTCAGCTGTGATGACGTCATTAAAATCATATTGTGACGTAAAGTCCGAATGACGTCACAAATGAGCAGTTCCAGATGCTACCATGGGAGACAGCGAAGCGGCCGGCACGGCCGGGCTGATGACATTTCACTGCTGTACCCGTGCTTTCGATGTCAATCAGAGCAGACACAAAAACGTGTGTGGACCTTCGGGTTTACTTTTGTGCTTACAATGTCGATAAACATCATGTGTTGGCGAATTACCGGGTGTTATTGAGTATTTGAAGCGGGAATATTTCATTTGAAACCTCCGGCTGGCGCCGTCGGTTCCAAATGAATTCCGTGCTTCAAATACTCAATAACACCGGAAATGTCAACACATGATGTTTATCTCTAAATGCAGAAACAATAAAGTGACCTATGCTTGCATTACTAATGTGATGTATTATATATTGAGAGAGAAGAGTACAGATATTATAAGGTCTATGCTTCTGTCGAGGGTAATTCTATGCCTCTTTGTAGCAGTGTCACCGAGCCATGTTAAACACTGCTACAAACTACATCATGTTTACCCGAGGGAGAAGCATTTTCTTACCTCCATGTTAAATGTACAAACTGTCATTTTATTTTATTATAAAGATCGTGACCGACTATATGACATGTAAACAAAATGGCATCTGCCTCTCGACAGGATTTTTTAAATCAGTGAAACATATTCTGACAAGGTTAACACTGCTATCAAAATGGTTAATTATGTTTAAGTTGAGTGTGCAAACGATTCAATGTATAAAATAGTTTAAATATAGCAGTGAAAGTCGGTAAAATAAATCTGTACATAATGAACTCAAAAACAGCTAGAACTGTTTTAGAACTCCGGACACTGAATGCGTCATATTCGTGATGTCATATAATTGTTAGCGATAAAGCTTCTTGGCAGAGAGTTTGGCGGTTACCGTGGCGGCGAGTAATATTTTTTCCAGTTGTCACCCTCCTGGGAGGGGTGACACAGAAACTTGTTAAAGCATCATTGACCAATGAAATTAAAGTATTTCACATGAAGGTAAGATAAATTGCCATGTAGGGGTGACTATTGAGGGAGAAACAACTATTGCGATAGTGATAGTCTATTGCGACCAACTATTGCAATACTATTGCAATAGTCTTTTTCTCCTTGAATTATCTCATTTGAAGTCATTTCCCAAAAAATAAATGTATGGTTTATATGACTCTTTTGATAACTGACAAGAAACTTGAAACCCAGATAAGTGTGTTTAAGAGGTAACATGGGTGGATAACTCCAAATCAAAGTGAATGAATCTGGTACTTCCTGTATTTTGCGCTGCACATGTATTTTGTGCTGCGCCAATAACTAAATTATCGATAGTCATACATACTATTGATGCATCTACAGTTTTTCGTTTCTGCCATCGATTAATTGCTATCGGAGACTCAACAATTGCAATCCATTGATAGTTAGATGCATCATTACAGCCCTACTGTCATGTCATCCTAACTGCAATGGTGGAAACATATTTAGTAAAGCTTCTTGTCAGGACTTGTTTGTTTATTTCAGCGAATGAACACTTTAACCACTAGGCTACCCTACTGCCCCTTTTTCTAAGTACACTTAGTAAATAATCTTAGACATACCAGCATAACACTGTTCATTCACATTGTGAAAATCTCCAACAACAGCAGCCTTAGTTAATACATACAGTTGCTATTTATGTTCCAAAGTTTGCCGTAATTTGTGTAGGTATATGTCCAAGGTCAGTGTAACATATCTTTTCATATTACATTTATGGCAAAACAACATTTTCAGTATAATATCAAAATAAGATCAAGCAAGCTACAAAATAAAGAGAACTCTGTTATTAACTGACCTAATGATACACAAGTATTGATGGTTAAAGGATATCCTCACAATCATCAGCTGGTTTCATAATATCATAAATACTCTGATCTTAATTACACTAAATCTTGTCCATGAGGTCTTCAAGTCTGTCCCTCCATCCAGAACCTTCTTTACATCCTGGAACATGATCTCCTCCCTCTTGTCATAGTTACGTTGGCTTCAATCTCTCTGTCTTGTCTATCAAGTCTGTCCCTCTCTCCAGACCTTCCATATAATCTAATATAAAACTCCTCCCTCTGCTCTAGATCTTGATACTTACACTGGCTTCAAGCTCCTCTGTCTTGTCCATGAGGTCATCAAGTCTGCCCCCTCTCTCCAGAACCTTCCATATAACCTAATATAAAACTCACTCCCTCTGCTCTAGATCTTGATACTTACACTGGCTTCAAGCTCCTCTGTCTTGTCCATGAGGTCATCAAGTCTGCCCCTCTCTCCAGAACCTTCCATATAATCTAATATAAAACTCACTCCCTCTGCTCTAGATCTTGATACTTACACTGGCTTCAAGCTCCTCTGTCTTGTCCATGAGGTCATCAAGTCTGCCCCTCTCTCCAGAACCTTCCATATAATCTAATATAAAACTCACTCCCTCTGCTCTAGATCTTGATACTTACACTGGCTTCAAGCTCCTCTGTCTTGTCCATGAGGTCATCAAGTCTGTCCCTCTCTCAGAACCTTCCATATAATCTAATATAAAACTCACTCCTCTGCTCTAGATCTTGATACTTTACACTGGCTTCAAGCTCCTCTGTCTTGTCCATGAGGTCATCAAGTCTGTCCCCTCTCTCCAGAACCTTCCATATAATCTAATATAAAACTCACTCCCTCTGCTCTAGATCTTGATACTTACACTGGCTTCAAGCTCCTCTGTCTTGTCCATGAGGTCATCAAGTCTGCCCCCTCTCTCCAGAACCTTCCATATAATCTAATATAAAACTCACTCCCTCTGCTCTAGATCTTGATACTTACACTGGCTTCAAGCTCCTCTGTCTTGTCCATGAGGTCATCAAGTCTGTCCCCTCTCTCCAGAACCTTCTCAATGTTCTGGGACATCACTCCCTTCACCTCATCCACCTGTGTCTGAAGCTTCACCACCCCAGTGTTTCCAGCTCCAGGCTTCGAGTACTTCTCCTAAAGCAGCATTTTATCAACACAGTCACTACCAGAGGAATGAATGAGTGAGTTACATCAGTGAGTGAAGTCACTTTCATAGCAATACACTTTCACACACAGCCATTTGGGAACTTCCACACTCAGCAATATTCAGCTATAGCTATATGGCGGCGGTCTGTAAATAATCGAGTCTGGACCAGACAATCCAGTGATCAACAGCATGAACATCTATCTGCACAATGCGTCAACGAAGCCAGCGAGCCAGAGATCTACACAGAAATGCTACTCAGCCTAAAAAGCATGTGTGCTCTCTGCTGTCACAAAGTATATATAGAAATGGTACCCATAAATGTAATTTTCTGAATAAAATTGATATTTTATACTTATCCTGACTCATGCTTATTATGCTTGTCTCCTCCTTCTATGCGAATGATACTGGACCACTTGAAATCCCTTGTAGTTCCCATTAAAGAGGACGCATAAGTACACTCACCCACTAGTTGTCTCCCTTGCATAGTTTCCCGCCAAAACAGTCACATGAGTAACCATGCTTGTCACTCTCTCCGTAATATGCCCCACACTTGGATTAACTGTGAAATCCGAAGTGCCATTAGTGGGGAGGTTGCAAGGGCTTGACATCATGAGTCAGGATAAGTATAAAAAAATCTATTTTATTCAGAAAATTACAAATTTATCCTTATCCTGACTCATACTTATTATGCTTCCAGAATCCGACGGATTGGTGGTCAGGTCACCTTCTCGGAATTATTGGCTGTCCTGTATCTACCCCCATGGGAACTATCATACAGCATTTCTTGACAATCCTGTTCTTCCAACTTCCATCTGCCAACTCGGGGGTACCACATCTTGTCAGACTTCTTTAAGACAAGTGAAACTACAATTCATGTGGATTTAAGATATACTAGTGTATCCTTGCTAGATATCTATAATAACTCATGTAAGAAGTATCTTCTAAACGTAAGAGTTACGACCCTTCTTACGTACAAGTACTTCCGTACAAGTACAAGGTCTAAATCACTCATGTTGGTCTGTTTTAGACGTAAACATGGATTCTCAACCAAGACTCTCCAGAGCGAAGGTTATCAGCAAGTCACGTGATAAGAGGGTGAGATTTTCAATACGATTTTCCAACGATCTTCTGGGACTACGATGCGATTTTCTATTGTGACGAACCTTATCCCTAGAAATTGTAGATCCTGTGTGGGTTCCAATTCTGATTTCCGTAGGTTTACTAGCCAACCCAGTTGTGTTAGTAGCCTTATGGTGAAGTCCAGTTGTAGCTTGAACTGACTGGTTTCCTGATGCGCTTGAATACCGTCGTCCAGGTAGAAAGCACTGCGTAGGCCTTGATGATGTAGAAAGGCGACTATGAGCTTGGTTACTCATGTAAACAACCATGAGGCCGAAGATATTCCAAACGGCAGGACTTTCCACTGGAAATGTCGACCTTGGAACAGGAATCGCAGATATTTTCTTGAGTCCTGATGTATGGGGATGTGTGGGTACGCATCCTGCAGGTCTACGCTGGCTAGATAATCTGCTGGACTTAATAAGTCAGCCAGAGTAGTTGAGGAAGATGGACCATCTTCAGTGGCAATGTCTCTCAGGTTGTGGTTGGCAAACACCGTATCTGATTTCCAAAAGCAGCATTCCATTATTGATGCTATCGAGCAATTCCCATGCAGAGCGAAAGTAGACGCCAAAGCTCTAACTTCGTGTGGGTTGGATGCACTCGGAGGTGGCAATCCTGCAGCTTTATAGGCCCTTAGTATAACAGCTCTCATCCATACTGATATTGTTGTTCGGGAGACTTCTGTGGATGTCTCTGTAGACAACAGTATAAACAGCCGCTTGAACTTCTGTCTCCTTGTTCTTGTCCAGTTAAGGTAAATTTTCAATGCTCTAACCGGACATAGAGATAAATCCTGTACATCTTCCTGTCCGAGGATTGTTGATAAGGCTGGTTCATTAAACTGTCTATCTGGTTGACCAGGTAGCTGATTCTTTGCCACAAAATGCCATCTAAGTCCTAAATGTGCTGCCGCACGATGTTTTGTGTCGAACCAAGTTTGTCCAAAATCCAGCACATGTATCTCTGATACTCGGGCTGCCGTGGCTAAGGCAAGTAGAAACATTGTTGTCTGCGTAAGTAGTTCGAGTGACATTTGCTCTAACGGCTCGTAAGTATCATTGGTGAGATGTTGTGGTACTACATTGAGATCCCACGCAGATGCCTTAAATTTCTTTTTCTCATCCTCCAGCTTAAAGGAACGTAATATAGCAAGTAGTTCTGGTATTTTTGTCAATTTGCTTCCTGTATTCATGGTCAAAACTCAGCTAATAGCCGCCAAGGACGTGGATAAGGTCGAACCTTTCAATCTCTTAGTCTGTCGTAGATGACATAAGTAATCCGCCACTTGAGGATGAGATGCTTTCGTTGCTGTGAAACCTTTGAGCCGAGCGTATTGTTGAAACCTCTGCCATTTGTCATCATACAGGTTGCGAGTAGATCTGTAAAGACCTAGAGTGACCGCTTTCGATGCTCTGGCGGAATAACCTCTCTTCCTCAAGCAAGTTTTGATACTGTCCATGTGTGAAGCTGGAACACTGCCGGATTCCCGTGAACTTGCTTGGTGTGCGGATGAACCAGTAGTTACAGGTTTTGCTTTCCTAGTTCTTGAATAAGATCTGGAAACCACACTCTCGCTGGCCAAAAGGGCGCGACCAAAATCAGTTGGAGGACTGTAGTCTGCCTGATTTCTTTTAGTGCTTGCAGGATTAGAACCGGTGACATGTTCAAAGCGTCTATTGCAATGCTTAGTCCTTCCTACGAAATGTTCAATGCATCTGTTGTCCATGCTAGCGGATCTAATACCGGTGAGATGAATGGCTGCATCTGTCTGTTGAACCTTGTGGCGAGGAATGTGACAGATCTATAAGTGGAGATCCTAACGTCCTTATGATGAGACCAAACCCCCCTGGATGAAGCATCCATTCTGTATAAAGTGATGGTTGCTGTGGCTGAATACTTCGCTGATCAGAGACTTCTGCCAATGTTGTAAGCATGTTGACTGCTTTCATCTCTAGTTGATTGATGTGCAGATGTCGTTCCTTTCCGACCACTTTCCTGCAGCTACCTTGCTTTCGAGGAGCATGCTCCACATCTTGTGTCGACGCGATCAGGTACAGATGTGTGTCGAAGAACCGCTCTTCTAAATAAGTTCCTCCATAAACATTCGACTTGGTTGTAGGATCATTCTTCCTCTGCGAAGGTGAGCAATCAAAGTCATCATCAAGCATTCTGTAAGTGAGTGCTTCATTCCGTTCCTTGGATGGAGATGCTAAATCAAGACCACTCGCGATCCATGAAGTAACCTCTGCATCAGAGAAGATCCCATCGCTGTCTTCATCCTTGTCTGACGAGCTGTGTCCTTGCGAATCCCTTCGCATGCTCCAATCGCTGGGTCCTTCCGAGGATCCTACTTTCGCGAATGCTTTCGTCACAGCTGGAATCTCTTGTTTCGCGAATGATCCTTCCTGTAGGCGGTGAAGAAGATCTATGACTGTAAGATCTGCTTGATACTGACGTGGTGCGTTCGCACCTCAGAGGAGATTCCCTGGAGATGGAGCGACGACGTATCTCGAATATCCTCATTCATCCCTCGCTGGTCCTCAGAATGTTGAATGCAGAGCGTTGAAGACCTTCTTGAACACTGGTGATCCTGCGTCGTGATTGCATTTGTCGAATGATGATCTGCAACTGTTGTGTTCGCCGACTGATGATCCACGAATGCTGCATCCTGTGGAGTGGATTCCATCCTAGGTACTGCAATCGCCGAAGCTTGCTGTAACCTCTTCTCTTCGGCAAACCTCTGCTCCATCAAGGATAGCATCTGCTGGGTGAATTGCTTCATGAATGCACCCTGGTCAAAGTTCTGCGCTGATTGATGAGGAGTAGACTACGCATCCGAGAACGTGGACTCATCTTCTAGTCTGCGTTGTGAACGAAGTGAAGAAATGCTGATGTTCTCTCTGGCACCCAATGTCTGTGAGGCTGACGGACAATCTTTAATCATCTGCTGCGCTGATGAAGCGGCTGAGGACGTAGATCTGGCCGGCGACGGCTGCTGCGACACCTTGCTGACTAAGGTAACTTCTGGCAGCAAAATCGGCGGGTCGTCAAAGATGTCTGCCTCTGCCAGGAGGACAATATCTTCGTTGAATGACGTCTGATGAGCAGGTCTAGTAGAGCTGGAAGACTTCGAAGATGATTTCGACGCAGACTTCTTCTTCTGTGAACTCACACCTGACGACTTATGCTTCTTAGACTGCGATGAAGCCAACTCAGACGATGCTGCCCTCTTCCTCGTAACAGGAGTCTGCCCCTGTGACGAACCCGGCAAATCACTAGAAACATTAGTTTCATTTGCAGATGACAACACACGGTTACTGATGTTATCTCTCGTTTTATCCGCCATGCCTCGTGATAACCTCCACACCTTGTCCTTAGAACGTCTAAATAAGGCCAACAAATAGTTATTAAATTGGAACGAAGATAAATTTATACAATATTGACAGTGAAAGCTGGAAGAGCATTGATTAGTACAAGAAGGACAAAGGGGGTGCGGATCAGCCGCAGACAGTTGGTGCCTGCAAAAAGAACACGATTTCATCAAATGTAAACAACAAATACAAGTGATGAAAAACAACAATATTTACGTAAATTTGAACATAATTCCTATATACACTGAATAATAATACAGACCGAAAACCGTATACAGCTAAATTTGGGCTAAGGGTCAAAATATAAAAGGATATAGAGCCGTATAGGGACTCCCATGTATCCACAACCATCCACCAGGGCGATGGAGGAGAGAGTGACAAGCATGGTTAGTCATGTGACTGTTTTGGCAGGAAACTATGCAAGGGAGGCAACTTGTGGGTGAGTGTACTTATACGTCCTCTTTAAAGGGAACTACAAGGGATTTCAAGTGTTCCACTATCATTTGCATAGAAGGAGGAGACAAGCATTATAAGCATGAGTCAGGATAAGGAAAAATCTGTATTTTTAGCATGGAAAAAAACAAAAGAAAGAATCAACATCAGGCATCATCACCATGACAACAAGACTTAGACAGCTAAACACTGACAATGCTGCGATATGAGGCGTATTACCATTTGCTGTGACATGATGAAGCCAAAGTCACCGTCCATGTCATGTGATTCTGCTGTTGAGGCCTGCTTTGCAAGTGGACCACTTTGGAACCTTTTCTTGACCTACAGAAGGAAATAAGATTTTCCATACAACTAATTCAGCTGAAAAACTGTTAACACAAACCTGATTCATATACAGTGAAACCTTGCTACTCCAGAAAGTACAATTCCCAAGTTCTGCAGCCCGTTTCACAAAGCGATCGTAGCACTACGACTGTCGTAAGTCTATGTTAAAGTATAGGAGTTAAGATCATCTTAGTGCTAAGACTGTCGTAAGTCTATGTTAAAGTATATGAGTTACGATCATCTTAGTGCTACAATCGCTTTGATGAATGGGGCCCCCGATTAATGAATTACTTGTACAAAGTGACATCAGTTTAATCAACAGATATGCCACAACCATTCCAAAGCAAGGTGTCCACATTAACAGAGTCTGTAATAACAAGGTTACACAGTAGAGAAACAAGACAGATAATTTTACAACATCTTTAGCAAGATCATGCTTCATGTTCAAACACCATGCCTACTTTAACCTTCATTGAAGAAAAAAGGTGTGAAAAATATTATATGCAAAGCAAATAAATAATAAAAATAATAGCAGCAGTTAACAAAAGGATGTGAACAGTTGAAGAAAGATAGAAAATGCATAGAGTTGTTTATTAATAAGATCACTTAACTTAAACAATGTACATAAACATAACCCTGCTATTTTCAGGTACAGGAAACACATTCTTTTCCCATTAGACAGATGGGTGAGAAGTTGTATATAGACACTTAACATCTTCATTGTCTGACTGGCAAATGGACAGCACTACAGAAGGTCTAAATAATTCTCTCAACAGATGTCTGAACGACATAACTGACTGACTGACTGAGTTTGGGTTTACCCCGCTTTTAGCAATATTCCAGCAACATCACGGCGGGGGACACCAGAAATGGGCTTCACACATTGTGCCCATGTGGGGATTCGAACCCGGGTCTTAGGCGTGACGAGCCAACGCTTTAACCATAAGGCTACCCCACGGCCCCTGAACGACATAACTTCTGGTACATAATATTACTGTATTCCAAACTTTTGTGGCATCTAAGCACTGTATCAATAACTCTCATTTTAATGAGAATACCCATCCATTATGCAGGTTGGTATTCTTTAGAGCGACTTTATGATATAAGTGGACAGTGAGGACTTCAGTTATTGACAAGAACAGTTTATTTATAGGGATGCAAATAAAACTATAGTCCCAAAATGGTGATAACATAACAAGACATCTTGCCATTTTTCACTCCATGTGAATTATGTTTTTTCAGTGAACCACAGCACAATTAACTTGTCATTTATTGCAGATGGGTTGGGATGTTAGAAGGGAAAAGAAGATGTTGGCAAATGTACATCCCTGGACAAGGTTTCCCACCCCAAATACATGACAGGTGTCCTGAAGGAATCATCAAGTGGGGATTAGTCACTATATGACTTATTACTTCTCAATACATTGGCATATCCACGGTAGCCTTATCAGATGAGTTGTTTGCTAATGATATACAAGATTTTCATGTTACAAAGTGGCTGTGATATTCATGTATTGTTAATATGATCTGCACTTTAGAATTAACATGATCCTCCTAAAAATGTTACATGATCTGCACCTATACTTGACATGATCTGCATACAGTTCACATGATCTTCACATAACTTAAACACAATCAATAGATTTAACATGATCTGTACTTATTCTTAATGTGATAATGACCTATATTTGACTTGATCTTCACCTATACTCGATCTAATTTACACATATATTCAACAAGATCTTAGCCTATATTTCACATAATATGCATATTTCATGTGATCTGCACATAAACATAGCATGTTAACATGTTCTGCACATATACTTCCCATGATCTTCACATATATTTGCATGATCTTCACATATACTTCCCATGATCATCGCACATATTTGGCATGATCTGCGCACATATTTGGCGTGATATTCGCACATATTTATTATGATCTGCACACATATTTGGTATGATCTGCACATATATTTTACATGATCTTCACATATATATGGGATGAGTGATGTACCTCTGCTAGATATGCGTAAGGTTGTTGTTTTCCAAAATCTGGTGATGCAGCACACATATATATAAGACCTCTGTCTACCACACAATGAAATGCATAACTGAAACAAACCAAACAAAAACATAGCAAATGAAGAAAAACAAAATCAAGCAGATAAAATTATGCATAAACAGGTTTTTGGAGTCATTGATAAAAACAAATATGTCTGAGCTGACCAGTCTTTGTTGTACCCATTAATGCCAAGCGCCAGACAGGGACCAACAAGTACCATATTTTAACGTCCTTTGGCATGACGTGGTCGGGGATCGAACCCAAAACCTTCCGTTGTCCAGGCGGACACTCTAAGCACTACACCACGGAGATGGCTGATACCGTAAAGGGGTGGTGGGGTAGTCCAGTGGTTAAAGTATTCGCTTGTCAAGCCAAAGGCCCGGGTTTGATTCCCCACATGGGTACATTGTGTGAAGCCCATTTCTGGTGTCCCACGCCATGATGTTGCTGGAGTAGTGCTAAAAGCGGCATAAAGCCCAACTCACTCACTCATACTGTAAAACAATGGATTGTCTGGTCCAGATCAGAATATGTTACAGACTGCTACACAGGATGCTCAGAATTAGGTTGGGAGGTGTGGCGTCAAACTGGTGTACACGCCAAATCAACTATAACGTATGTAACATGATAAAAAAATAGTGGTGTGGTGTAGGGAGATTAGGCTATCAGTGGTGACCTTCTAAATCCACATATCAATAATATGATTTCATGTCATTTTCTGCAATTTTCATGATGGGATGAACTCCAAAGCTACTGACACAGTTAAATGTGAAACTAATTGTTCTGACCATGTAAATTTATGCCAAAATATGGCATGCTCTATAGATTTTGCTTTTGTCATTTTAATTGTTTTTGTCAACTCAGCAGTATTCCAGATATAGGTCTTGACCAGACAGTCAAGTGATTTATATCATGAACATCAACCTATACCACTGGGATATTGTGACATGCATCAACCAAGTCAGCAAGCCTGACTCAGCACCTGCCTACATCAAGCTTCGGCTGCTGAAGACCAGTTCTTACCTGGATCTTCATGGGTAGTTATAATTACTGAAGACCTGTTCTTACCTGGATCTTCATGGGTAGTTATAATTACTGAAGACCTGTTCTTACCTGGATCTTCATGGGTAGTTATAATTACTGAAGACCAGTTCTTACCTGGATCTTCATGGGTAGTTATAATTACTGAAGACCAGTTCTTACCTGGATCTTCATGGGTAGTTATAATTACTGAAGACCTGTTCTTACCTGGATCTTCATGGGTAGTTATAATTACTGAAGACCATGTTCTTACCTGGATCTTCATGGGTAGTTATAATTACTGAAGACCTGTTCTTACCTGGATCTTCATGGGTAGTTATAATTACTGAAGACCAGTTCTTACCTGGATCTTCATGGGTAGTTATAATTACTGAAGACCAGTTCTTACCTGGATCTTCATGGGTAGTTATAATTACTGAAGACCAGTTCTTACCTGGATCTTCATGGGTAGTTATAATTACTGAAGACCAGTTCTTACCTGGATCTTCATGGGTAGTTATAATTACTGAAGACCAGTTCTTACCTGGATCTTCATGGGTAGTTATAATTACTGAAGACCTGTTCTTCTTACCTGGATCTTCCTGGATCTTTCACCTGGGTAGTTATAATTACTGAAGACCAGTTCTTACCTGGATCTTCATGGGTAGTTATAATTACTGAAGACCAGTTCTTACCTGGATCTTCATGGGTAGTTATAATTACTGAAGACCAGTTCTTACCTGGATCTTCATGGGTAGTTATAATTACTGAAGACCAGTTCTTACCTGGATCTTGATCTTCAAGATCTTCACGGGTAGTTATAATTACTGAAGACCAGTTCTTACCTGGATCTTCAGGGGTAGTTATAGTTAGGCATTGTTCATGTATTGATACAATGACATGTATCAATCAAGTCAACGAGCCTGACCACCTGACCCTGTTAGTCACCTCTTACAACAGCTTTGGTTTGCTGATGACATATACAAGCTCGGCGCTTCACAACAAACAGCAAACTAGTACTATAACATATTAAAACATTAATGCATCCATATATTGAAAGACAGACTGACAGACAAATCTGAAAACAAGGCAAAAACACCCGACTATATTGTAATGAAAACAATAAAATACAAAGAATCAGATGTTGTGATTGTGTGACACAATATAATTAATTATCATGAATTAAAAAAATGTCCTTTTTTCTGTGACCATACAATACTTTCAGACATAAATACATTTTCAAAATTAATATCTTTTTCTCACAGACATTTATCAAATGATGTTGTCTTTCAGTTCTAACATGATTAAATTCATTGATCATTACATGTACTTCTACAATAGTGTTACTTGTCCATTTTGAATCATCAGTATTTATTCATGATAAACTGATTTTTACAACAATAAATTATAAGGCTATAATAAATAGAGGATATTGTATGAGTGCTCATATCATACTATATTTAGGCACGAAGTGTCGTAAACATAGTATGATATGGGCACTCATATAATATTCTGTTTATTACCTAAGTCGTTAAATTGAGGAAAATAAACCCAAATCTACTTTCAAACACAGGCTGGCTACCCGCCATCGTCGCAAATAAAATTCCTCAAAATAAAATTAATAAAACTTAAATTTACTTATACATGTATTTCAATGTATGTAGTTGTATAATGTTGCACAAATAGTGTGGCCTGGGCGTCACTGTCGTTACATCTCACAACAGTGGGACATCTGACTATAATGAAACAGATAGGATATGGCATTTATATCCTGCTTCTTTTGAACTGCTTTTCAAGTTGATAGATGTGTTGATGGTGGGTGACAACAGTTTGGACATTAATTAGCCACTTCCTTATTTTATTTAACTTGACTTGATGACCTTCGTTTTTTAGGTCAACACCTTACATTGCAAAATAAAATACTGTCCCAGCCCTGGACTTGTCATACCAAAATAATGATTCAACATTGGCATAAACTGGGAAGCATTTCTGGTGTCTGACAATAATTATTTGATAATGCTGGAATGTTTCTAAAATGTGGAAAAATCAAACTCACTTTGTGTTAATTAATTATTTCAGGTTCAAACTTTAAGTAAAAAGAAAATAAGTGTGAGTTACTTTTATGCTACTTTTAGCAATATTCCAGCAATATCACCGTGTGGACATCTGAAATGAGCTTCACACATTGTACCCATGTGGGGATTTGAACCCTGTTCTTCAGCGTGATGAGCGAACGCTTTAACTACAAGGCTACCCCACATATGTCCTTTTTCTGTTACTTACTCATTTGATGTGTAGGTATTTTTGCCATCTGTGCTGGTTGATATATTCGGAAGTATAGAGTCAACTGTACTTTCAAAACTACCAATGCCATTCTGTCGACTACAGAGGACAACTGTCCCTCTGGAAATACAACTGTACTCGATAGGCATGTTTGCTGATAACCTGAAAAATACAAAATGTTAAAACATCATATCTTGAATATGATCAGTGAATTCTTTTACGGTTAGATATGATGTCATGCAACTTGTAATAATGATAACAATATCAATTATCATACTACTGGTGATACAACTAATGTTATATAAACATACAGTGGACAGTGACATCCATTGGGATCTCATACTTATGATGATTCATCTTGATTTTTGAATCTAAATGAGCCTCAATAACATATACACTGTCAATTATGACTGTATATCAGACAACTCTGATACTGGTTTAACCAATGGGGTTAAAAACAACAATGATAATAACAATATCAGGAAAACTAATAATGTTATCACAAAAATTACAATTGTGTTTGAATTGTGAGATTCTAGTCTCAACATAATTCTGTATGTGAAGATAAAAGAAACTTGAACTTCTTTGCTGCTATGTTTTAATGCTCAAAATATATATGAGTCAAATATGTCGAAACATATTTGACTTATATATACACAAGTGAAGCGGCTTATAATCCCCTCAATATGACAAAAATATAATAAATGGCAGCTGAATAACAATCTGATCGGTTAAATAATTTTGTTCCATATTTTATAGGCCCTCTAGACCCCTGCATAACGTTTCGTTGTGTCTCATATGTAGCACATCAACAAATGCAGACATCTTGCGAGAAAAATAAACACACGGAAATGAAATTGAATCTTCGGTGTTAGAGCAAATGAGCTGTATCAATGATAAACAAACACACAATCGCAAGTTTACAATCTATTCAAGATTACAAACCAATACAGAAGTTAATATCCGTGGAAATCCGGTTCCTGGTGTTGTGACATGAGTTTCAAAACTTTTCCAATGATCGAATTAATGCAGTGTCTGCAACTAAATCTCAATCAATACGGCAAGGAGGCGTGACTCACTCAGACGACAACAAAATAACGGGAGTTGTCTCCCTTATACCGTGAATTACCGTCCCATGGCTCACAAGCTAAATATAGCCTAATACTGTTATCCAATCAGCTTATGCGTAAGGGGCTATCTAAGCCAATCAAAGTATCTGTTAGGCAGCGTGCGGTATCAATTAGTTACGGTGGTGATTATTGGGTCAATCGGCGTGAGGGATCACTCCAAGCCGAAAGACACATTCGGCGGCAATCAAGAAATTCTGTGAAATTTCAGAAGAAGCGTGCAAATAGTAGCGTGATATTATCAAAACAGTAAGTAGATATTTATATACGCGTCTTTTCCGTCTCTGTAAGTTGATAATGCAATTGAGTTGTCACTGGCGCTTAAGTCCAGAGTTGGGCGAATAAGCATGCACAAATCGGTGTCACTTCAACACAATAATATCACTGATCATTACGTTTTGAAAGAAAGCACATTCAGAACGTGACAACGCCGCTAGGAGGCTTAGCGCGTCATTGCTATTTACATAATAATGTCTAAGGTGTCGATTGCCGATCAGTCATTGTTAATTGCAGTTTTGACAGGATTTTAATTTTTCAAGTCGTTTGTTTTGTTATGACACTGTGAGTTGTAATCTTTGTTCTTGGTGCGTTGGAAAAAAAAAATCTAACGCAAACATTTGGTTGAGTTGACAGATGTCTTATAGCAAGCGTGCTGGTTGACTCCCAAAATAGACGCGCACGTGGGATTCCACGCCTGGCTTGTTAAAGACATAAACAAGATAAACATTTCCTGCCCATCTGTGTTGTCTGAGCGTTACTGGTTTTACCAGTGTATATATGTGTTATAAAGCAGATAAGTGTACGTTGCCCTTTTCGTGTGTTTTTTTAGATGTTTGGAGGATATTTACTAAGATTTATTTATTTTGTTATATATCTATCAAATCAATGTTATTTTTGCACTTTAAATTTTTTTTGAAAATAATTTAATGTATCCTTTCTTTTAACTTGATAAAAAAAATCTATCACCGACATATGATATTTTGTATCAAAAGATTAGGGATGTTTTTCTGATATATTGTACCATTAAACCTTTTCTTAAAGGTTCCTTAAGTACGTTATGTTGTCTAAACTAACAGTTTATGTTGCCTACCCAGAAAATAAATGCATCTCACAAATTAATATTTAGAATCTTGAAGATCTGGGTTAGAATTGATCATCAGAACCCATGCTTGTCGTAAGAGACGACAAACAGGATCGGATTGTCAGGCTCGCTGACTTGGTTGACACATGTCATCATATCCCAATTGTGTAGATCTATGCTCATGCTGTTGATCACTGGATTGTCTGGTCCAGACTTGATTATTTACAGACCACCGCCATATAGCTGGAATATTGCTGAGTGTGGCGTTAAACAACAAACCAACCAACCACAATTAAGAATGGTCAAAAAGGAAACATTGTTGGAATAGACGTGTGGAGGGTAACAATTTTGTTCATATTTGTCTTGTAACTGATAAATCAGTTTTGAACCGGCCAGTCAAGGATCACAAATCAAGTGCCTTTAATGCCTAGTACTGGTGGTATTTACACAATAGAAGACTGTTAAGTAAAATAAAAGCTGAAAGATTCACTTGTGCACCATTGTGTCCACTGCATACAGTGAACCCCAGTTGATCTGAACAGGATTAACAGATTAACAAATATCCAGAATCATGAAATCCTTAATAACGAACAGATTTCACCTGGTGGAAATTAAGTGTTCAAAGTTGTAAAGGTGAGGGTTCTAGATTAACAGGTTCCCGGACAAGTGAAGTGTCACTGCAAATATTTAGGTTGAACATATCACTGATATTAACATACTGATAGGGAACAGTTTTTAAATTGTAAAGGAATGACATATTAGGCATGATATTTGTAGTTACCCATGAGATTATCCAGCAGAGTGATGATGATGATGGTGATGATGATGATGATGATGATGATGAAAATATAATGCATTCTTAATGTTGGACCATCTACATGTTTTACACAATCATTACCCTGTACAACATAACAGTGTGCTCTCAAATTACATTCTCAGCTCCCTTGGAAGTAGATAACTTTGGATACCTGTTAGGAGCTAGAGGTTTTGCATTCATATTTCCATCTCATTCTACCTTATTAAAACAAAAAACTGAAAAGGGATGTAACCAAATGGGGGGCCAGAAAATGGACTGGGTGGTTGAGTCAATCATTGAAAGAGAATGTTGTTTGATAGCTTGTCCGATGAGAGCAGTGGTCAGTGCTCAAAGATTTGATCACTGGATTTTCTGGTCCAAACTTGATTATTTACACATTGCCATCATGGCACACCATGTGTTCAACTACAAACTAACAATACTTATTGTTTATAAGTGTCTGTTTAGAGAGCTTGAAGTATGGACCACAAACAAGTTGTCAAAAGGATATACAATAACATCAGAAGCAGAGAACACGGTAACAGTGCTTAATTGTGTATGTTTATTGGTTAATATTAGTGAAAAAAGCAAACAGCACTGTTAAGTAATGAAAATGGTCAAAGATTTTTTTCTACCTACCCCTAAGGAGCTACTACTGTGAAGGAAGGCTGTTCCAATATCACTCATGTAGAATATGGCAGGCACAGAATCAGGGACTAATGACTGAAAACCAAACAGGGCAATACATCGATACAATATACATCCCTGTAAATGAAACCATGTTTGGTCTCATACAAATTCTAATACTGATATCACAATGCTGATACTGATATTGCAATGCTGATACTGATATTGCAATGCTGATACTGATATTGCAATGCTGATACTGATATTGCAATGCTAATACTGATATTGCAATGCTAATACTGATATCACAATGCTGATACTGATATTGCAATGCAATGCTGATACTGATATTGCAATGGTGATACTGATATTGCAATGCTGATACTGATATTGCAATGCTAATACTGATATCACAATGCTGATACTGATATTGCAATGCTGATATTGCAATGATATTGCAATGCTGATACTGATATTGCAATGCTGATACTGATATTGCAATGCTAATGCTGATATCACAATGCTGATACTGATATTGCAATGCTGATGCTGATATTGCAATGCAATGCTGATACTGATATCACAATGCTGATGCTGATATCACAATGCTGATACTGATATCACAATGCTGATGCTGATATTGCAATGCTGATGCTGATATCACAATGCTGATGCTGATATTGCAAGGCTAATACTGATATTGCAACGCTAATACTGATATCACAATGCTGATACTGATATTGCAAGGCTAATACTGATATTGCAAGGCTAATACTGATATTGCAATGCTGATACTAATACTGATATCACAATGTTGATACTGATATTGCAATGCTAATACTGATATCACAATGCTGATGCTGATATTTCAATGCTGATACTGATATCGCAATGCTGATACTAATACTGATATCACAATGCTGATACTAATACTGATATCACAATGCTGATACTGATATCAGTGTGCTTAGATACTAATACTGATATCACAATGCTGATACTAATACTGATATCACAATGCTGATACTAATACTGATATTTCAATGCTGATACTGATATTGCAATGCTGATACTAATACTGATATCACAATGCTGATACAAATGCTGATATCACAATGCTGATACTAATACTGATATCACAATGCTGACACTAATACTTATATCACAATGCTGATACAAATACTGATATCACAATGCTGATACTAATACTGATATCACAATGCTGATACAAATACTGATATCACAATGCTGATACTAATACTGATATGACAATGCTAATATTTGCTATTGCAATGCTGATACTGATATCACAATTCTGATACTGATATTGCCATGCTGATATCGCAAAGCTGATATTTCAATATTTCAATGCTGACACTAATATGGTCATGCTAACTAATACTTATAAAAATATGCGAAACATATTTTTTCTCACGACACATTTCTGGTGACCTGGATCCGGTTGTATCATTGCTTCATTAACTAATGTCAACATTAAACCCTAATGATACATTAAATCCTTAATGCATCATTAGTTGGCATCATTAAAAATGGTTGTATCAAACACTTATTAGCGTATCATTATCTAATGACGTCCTAATGTAAATATTTTCATTAAATCCGGGGATTCCCCTAATTTTTTCCCACAATTCCGCGCTGTAAACATGTAAGTGTTACTCTCGGTCGTCTGTCAAAATGGCATATTTAGGGCTAAACCTCGGAACAAAAACAAACATTTCGACTGCTGTGAAGAAACACGTCTAAATAATTCTGAAACGTCACCGATAAACCTAGAATCGGTTGGGATGTTTTGGAAAATACACGTACATGAACACCGAAGTGAGCTTCCGCCATGTTGGATAGTGTTTACAAAATCAAGTTTCGCTATGGCCAGTCATAGGACGCCTGTTACATCATGTATACTTCATATTCAGTTGTGACAAATATATCTCTGAATTCCTCATACATTTTAGAATCAAATTCCAAATGGTCTTTGTCACTAAAACCAAGTGTCTAAGAAAAAACCTAACATATTGGGTGTGAAAACGGGACGTTGTGCTCATTACACAGCGCTTCCTAGAAATATAAACAAAGCAAAAATCAGATTTTATACTGTGCAGCATTTTCTCAATTTTTTAGACATCAGTTCGTCTATTCGTAGCATGCATGAGCTCAATATTTTAAGAATATGCACGGATAGAGTATCGTAGCAAGAACTAGAAAACTTAAAACAGATACAATACTGAAATTTGATATATTCATACGAAAATTCTGTGCAGCGTGGACGCCATGCGAGACTAAAAATCATGGAGAAACGACATAGGCAATTATCGGCATTTCTGACTTTTTCAATGAAAACAATAAAAACAAACAACATAATGAGACAGTCAGAATGTTTCCGATTACTTACATCCTACATTTATGGACTAAGGTTCCTCAAGAAAATCGTGGGCACCCATAT